ACTCCTGGGCTTGCCCGAGAAACAAACAGTGGAAGTGTTGTCCGCCTGAGAAATTCCGACATTTCGGATCCTGAACAACCTCCATTTGCTTAAGTCCCGTGGACAAAACCCAAAAAAAACATATTGCCAGTATAGGTTCCCTTTGAAACCAACAAGGGGAAAACAAAAAACTCATTTCAGCAAATGGAAGACAATCGGCTGAGGCCTCGATTTCACGAAGCCCGTCAAGATGAGCCCCTATCAGCTTGATTCTCATTTCAGGCGGATCTGAACTTGCCCGTCGCGCCAAGAGAAGAAGGTCTTCGATCCAAAGGCAGCACATCGTCAACGCCAAATAGAAGCGCTGGGTGTCATTTGAAGCAAGTCCCTCCCATGGCTTGTTCCCGAAACGGACTTCAGAGGGGTTTGCCTGGAATCCTGAAACTTGAGAAACCCCAAATCTTGGGGTACTCACTTCCGAACGAGTGGATGAGGCCAAAAAAGGCACCCAAATATGTTGAAGCCACTGAAATGGTCCAACCCCAAAAAGTGACTCAAGTCCAAAACATAACTCAAAAATCAGGCTTCTAAATAAATAAATATGTATACAGGAGTTTATAAATCTCGGCCTATGGACCAACGCCCAGCTATCCCATTTTGAAGGATGGGAAGTTGGGAAGGCGCTTCAAGGACGAGCAGCTCCATCATACCAGGCATGGCTCCCGGCTCTGACCTGCCAAGCCAGCGGAACCCAATGAGCCTCTGGCGAAGCCTCTGGTCTCACTGGACCACACCCAAGGTGGGACCAAACTCTCTGCGCCTCCATCTTGGTTTCAACATTGGCTAGGTCCTCCAGTAGAGAGGTGCTCGAATAAGGGTACCCACTTCTTTCTTTTTTGTCTATGTTAGTAGGGGAACCCAAAACCCCAAAAAAGGGGAGAAAAGGCACTACTGGAGAACCTAGTTGCGGTTGTGGGGGATATCGAAGGCCAACTTGGGTCCGAGTTTGGTTCCTGATCAGATATGACACCTTCACTTGAGAACTGGCTGGAAGCCTAGGTCAGATATTTCTTACGCAAACAACCAACCCAAAACCACACACATAAGCGAACAATCAAACAAACAAGCAAGCAAACAAACAAAACATAAGACGCAGCACACAGACGCCAACAATATGCTTACTCCATCTCCCCCACGAAAGCTGCGGATAAAACGACTGAATCCGAAGTCTCTCCAAGAATGCACTTAGAAGCTTTGAGAGGAGAAGAACAAGGCTGGCCCCCGTTTGCACGAGTCCCGGCAAATGAGAATGTCTCAGCGCTGGCCCTTTCTGAGACATGGAGACATGGGGACCCCCGAAAAAAGACGGTTTCCTTTTCTTGCTGGTGCTCAGCCTATAAACCATCCCTTATAGTTTCCTTTAAGGGAATCCCCAGGTTCATTCCCAACACCCTGACTCATTCCCTGCTGAGCACCAGCAAGCCTTGGCTTCCCTTTCAATCCATGGAAAAGGAAACATGTTGACCCAGAAGTAATAGACCCGTCCCATTATTCGGGGTGTGTTCCCTCCAAAAGTGGTCTGAATCCCCACTAAAAGGGGACACCCCCGATCAAAATCAATCAGGGGTTGATGTATCCGGGGTAAACATTACCGCTCAACAGCCCCACCCATCTGACTTTTTTTGGTCGTCCGGCATTGCGGCCGCGGATGGCGCCACATTACCGCTCAACAGCCCCACCCATCTGATTTTTTTTGGTCGTCCGGCATTGCGGCCGCGGATGGCGCCAGCGCCTAGGCCCAAACATCATCAGGCGTTCCCTTGGGGTCTGTGTGGATTTGTCTGGAAACAAGGGAAACTGCGAACTGATGGTTTTCCATTGGTTTTGCTTTGGTTGTCCGTAGTTTCTTTTGCATACCAATGCGCAAGGGCTAATGACCGTAAGCCCATAACAAGTCCCCTGCTTGCTTGCAGCATTTGCGCTGACATCTAGGAAGTACTTGCGGTGACGGCTCAAATGGCCCATAGAACCTCCCTTGATTCATCATGTGGTGCATGTTTGCGGAAAACAACAGGACAACAACCGCTTGAACAATTGGAGCACAACGACTATTGAAAGGCACCCTGGGTTGCGGCCTGTCCCCTGCCATAAGCGGGAGGAGGTCTCCCCAGTCTTCCCCATAAGGAACGAATTCCAGGGGTCACCCCAATTCCATGTTTGAGCGGGTGGAGATGTTCGGAGAGTTCTGAGTGTAGAAACAGAAGCGACTTGCCGGACAAGCTGCCAGCGCCAGCCACCTGCACGAGCGTTTTGCGGCAGGTCACAAGCAACTCCGTTGGCCATGAAATCTCGAGAGGCCATTGATCTGTCCAAAGATGCGAATCCGACAAGTAAAGGTCCCGACTCAAGTCCTGCGGGGATCCTTTCCAAAAGCACGCAAACAAAAGAAAAGTCAGAAGTGCAAAGCTTAATTGCACCAATAGCACTCCATCGGTCACTGTGACCCAGTATCACTTCCCTCTAGGGACCTGTCCCAAAAGAAAACAGGAAGTTGCAAGCAGCAACGCGCATCCCCGGCTAGGGAACAAGGATGACCCAAAGACCCCTACTCAAATCCCGCAAAACAGAGAGCACGCGAAAGCAAAAGAACAGCTGAACAGAAGTTGATTGCATCAGCACCCCCGTCCACCACGCGCACGCAGCTTCCTAACGATGTCCCGCTGCGCGTGTGAAGCACATGTAAGAAAACGTTTTGCCCCCACAACCATCTAGACTGATATTATTATTTCATATACTTTCCTATCTTGTATTGTTCATCTTAAAATATGTCTATCTTGTTTGTGTGTTCATCTAAGATTTGCTTTTATTGAGTTTATGATTAAATTGTTGATGAAGATTGAAAATGAAAAGTTAATGAAAAGGGAATTAGAAAGAGAGGAAAGTGACCCAACAAATATTTTATGCATCATATTTATTATATTATTTCTCTTTTATTGTTCTTTTCCGTTTCCTTTATTGTTTTATCTTTGTGTGTGTCATCTTCTTCTTTTGCTTTCTTTCTGCTCATTGCTGGTGTTGTCCTGCGGGAAAGAGACATAAATCAAAGAGGTCAAACAAAAGGCCCATTTCCAAATCGAGTCTGGTGTGCACATGTACTGTGCCTGTAAGACACATGTAAGAAATCAGGCCTGCAATGTCGGCGGTCTGAGCCGGAGGCGGAAAAAACACTTTACATACACAAACACGAGTCTCCATTTTAGTTGCATATACATGTATGTCTGTAATATGTATATAGATACATATATATATATATGTATGTACATATACATATACATATATATATATACATCATATGCCACATGGGCCGCATCTCACAAGGACCTGGAGCTTACGCCCATTCATTCGCAAGGATGAGGCAAGCCGTTCTCTTACAGCATGTCCAGTCCATCAAACCCTGGCCTTGGCATATTGGAAAGTCTTGGGATCCCATGTCCTCCCGTTCTCCATAAGAACCAGGGGTTCAAATCCCAAACCAATCCAAATCACCAGCTAAGGGTTAGCTGAACATATACTTGTTTGACTCCCATGTGAGACAAAACCAAAACCCGGTATTAAAGTGGTCTACTCAGAACCATATATATATATATATGTATAAAGAATTAAGAAGGCGGCCGCTGCATTTTATGGCAAGGATTGTCCCTTGCTAACCTTCATCTACCCGGGTTTCGATTGTGGCTCATGTGAGCTAAAAATGGATAGTGGGTCACCTTGGCAAAGTGCACTGGGGGGCGTCCGGCGCCGGCTATTGCGCGTGTCCCGAGGCTCCTGTGTTTGATCAGGAAGCAAGGCCAAAAGCAAACCCAAAACTCAGATGCCATGGGCAAAAGGGCATCCTTTTTTTGGTTGGTTGAGTTGGGGAACACATCCCAAAATAGGTTGGAAAAGAGGGGCGCCACTGGGCAACTGGGAAAAGCACCAGGCCTCAGGACAACGCAAGTTTCTGACGGCCGCGTCCCCCATCTCCCCTCTTCGCACGCCTGGCTAAGACCCTGAAGCCGGCAGCCATAGCCCCGGCCAGTGCGGGTTGCGCTTTCTGCTCGCCACGGCTGACTCCCTTTTTGTGCAGCCAAGCTCAAAGTAACATGGCGGAAGGGATTCGTGCTGTCAGGACTGAAACGAGACCAGCAATTCTCAAGGCACAAACAACAAGTCAACATGTCGAATCATGCTCGGGGATCAAACTACACCAGGAAGGGGGAAGCAAAGGAAGGTCAAAACGCCGACTCGTGTTTTTTGCATGCGAGCCCATATTCGAGAGCTCCCTCGAACACATTGACATGCATGCTGGTCCTAGAGGTAAACTTCAAGGTGAATCGGATTGGTGCTTAGAGGCCATGCTATCTGAATCCGAGCGATTCGGGCCATGAGTTATCATAGGCAGATCCTTAAAGCAGGACAAAAACTGTCTTCAGGCATTCTGCTGCTGGAAAGCCAAATGTAGCCTGCCTGTATGCCCTGATGACCTGTATCCGCTAACTTCAGCTTGCGCCTGCTACAGCCAAGCTTGTCGGACATGCAGATAGCGAGCAGCTCTCAATAGCATGTTCCTCTCATCCACATACGGTTCTGGGTGTGGTTCTGATCCAGGCACTACATTGGAGAGATCGTTGAATGCGACGGGAACTGTACCCAAACAAATTCACCTTCCATCGCCTCGCCGGCCAGCACGACATTAGGGGATGGCAATCTGGATCGGTCTGTCGCCAAAGCTGTAGACAATTCTGAAGCGCTTGGTAAGTATCCTGCCAGAAAACAGCCACCAATACTCTGCCCTCCACACCTTTTCTACGCTTGAACCAATTCATGGGCATGGGACCAAGTCTGTACCACTTGTATGGCTCGTGCTTGAGAAGGCTGCATCAAGCCTCTGCGGGCTGCAGTGCTCCAAAAGTGATTTGATGCGAAACTTACAAACGGCCATGGAAAAAGCTTGCGCGTTGCGCCCGCCCTATCCCACTTGCCTTCTCCAGCTGCGGCCGAAGGGTACCCTCGGGCAAACAAGGTCCGTGGTCAAATGCCTGTCAAAACCTCCTTTTGGGCTTGGTTCAAAAGAAACAATAATTTTGGGGGTCTCCCAAAAAAAGCACATCCGAATGTCCAGCAGTTTCTCTTTGGGCCTCCCTTGCTTGTTCCTTTGTTGGTGCTCTTCTGCTCGTTCGGCCTGGATCCATGGAAAAAGATCCCGCAAGTAGTAGATCTCTGCCCGGCATGGCCAACATGAGCTTCCTTTTAGACAGGTGATGTCTCCAAGTAAGGAAAAATCACCCTCAAGCTGACTTCCAAAGCGCTAGAATCCCCGAGAAGATATGCCAAGCATGTTGACGTCCTGCTTGCTTCATACACCGAACAGGCGGGCAGCATGGCGGGCTTACTTGCAAAGGGAAGCCAACATTTGAAGGGGCCTCAACAGTTTAGGAAGTTTTGGAGGGCCTGCGTTGTTTCGTACCAACCATGGTATGGAAGAGAAATCTCTCCTTGGAGATGAGGTATATGGACGATGTCCACACGTACCCTGCTTCAGAGTAACATGAAACCAGCAAAGCCGACCCGTTCCTTCCAGAGCAAAACATCACACGCGATCATGTCGCATGTGCTAAAACCGGAATTTGGGCTGGACGGATTCCTACAATGATAATATGTTGACCCACATAGGCATGTGAAAAGATTCATACCCCAAGACAAGGACTCATGAGTTGCCTTTGTGGCTACCCTTTATAAACCAACCTGAAAGTGGTACCCTCAAAAAGAAGTCGAGAACAACAAAATGAACGGGCTTTTTTGGTTTCCCTTCAAACACGTCTACCCAGAATTACCGCACCCTACGGGAAAAAAAAGAGGATAGTTCCCGACAAACTCTTCTAAAAGGGGAACCGCACAGTAGAAAGAACACACACACAAAAAAGAAGGAAACACACCAAACACCTAGGAAAAAAAAGAAAAATATAGAAGTGGCGCACGTTGATGGCACTGGGCTGCCGCGCGCGACTGAGGGGCAGCTGCATGGGAGCAGCCCAGAGCCGTGAGCTGGTCGGGGCCTGGGGTTGCCTTGAAACCCGTTGGAACCGCAGAGGTCAGAAGGAACCAACATGCATAGGTGGCCTCTTGGAAAAGTCGATGGGCCTGGTAAATGGAACACAACCCATCTAAACCAGTGCCATCTATGCTTGACCAGTCTCACCTAAGAAGGACACCTATGCCAACAAGTTTGGAGCCTGTGCTTTCTTCGTTGTAAAGACTCGCTTTCTTTGTTGTAACCAAAGACCACAGGATCAACAGGGATCATGCTGGAACGACAGAGATCAGCTGTTTTTTTGTCGTAAAGACCATGTTTGGACCCAGCCATACAAGATTCACATTTGCGGTTGTTCTTGAAGGATCAGAAGGAACCCTGTTGGATCCTGAAACCACCCGCACGCCTACGGTGTCGGATCCTCTAAGGATGATTCTTCACGAAGCCTGCTGAAAAACCAGAACCTCGGGTAGCTCAAAATGTTCCACAACTTTTGTGGGGACAACTCCATCTGGGCATGGCTCAAAATGAAAAACAACACCAGAAAAGGACACCGCAGGGTTTTAGTCCTTGTCTCCAATTCGCCTCGGCCCCAAAGGGGCCAAGCACGCTCAGATCCCCAACCCGCCCGCCCCCCCCCCCCCCACCCATGTCGGCTGGCCCAAAATCCTGTCCGGCGAGCCTTGAAATTTTCGGGGTTCGTCGGCGTCCAGCTCCATGGGTCCATTTTTGTCGAAAATGTGCTGACAATTGCGAAAATACTAAAAAAAAGCTTTTTTGTCCTGAAAAGCCTCCTGGTGGCCAGGCCTGTCTGACGTGTCTGAGACTAGGCTCAGGCCCAGCCCAACCGGCAACCCGCCTGCTGGCCAGGCCTGTCAGCCCAGCCCACCCAGCCTCAGGCCCAAGCTTGTCTGAAACAGGCCTAGCCCAAGCACGGCCCCAAGTCATCCAGCAAGCCCAGCCCAGCCTGCCCAGCCCAGGCCCCACACATCTCAGGGCAAGCCACCAGGCCAGCCCACCACCACCCTCAGCCCAGCGTACCAAGGTCAGGTTTGTCTGACGTGTCTGAGACTGGCCTCAGGCCAACAGTCTCACGTGTCTGAAACTGGTCTCAAGATATGCCAGCTACTAAGCCTGTCTGACGTGCCGCTCGCGTCTGGCCCCAAGTCATCCAGCAGTTCGGCGCAGTCTGAGACTGGTCTCAAAGTATGCCAGCCTGAGACTAGCCTCAGGCCCAGTCCCTCAGCCCGCCTGCTCGTGTCTTACGTGTCTGCGACTGGCCTCAGCCAGCCAGCAACTTGCCACCCAGCCTCAGGCCCAAGTGTGTATGAAACAGGCCTTGCCCATCCAGCAACCCGCCCAAGCACAGCTCAGCCCAGCCCGCCCAGCCCAAGTTCCAGGCGCAACCAGCAGCGTAGTCCGGCTGCCCGGCAGCCAGCAACCCATCCATGGCTTCAGGCCCAGCCCAAAGCCTGCCCAGCTCAGGCCCCGGCATCTCAGGGCAAGGCTCAGCCCAGCGTGCCGTGTCTGAGACTGGTCTCAAGCTATGCCAGCTACTAAGCAGCCCGGCTGACCAGGCCCCTTCGGCGCAGTCTGAGACTGGCTCAAGGTATGCCAGCCTGAGACTAGCCTCAGGCCCAGTCCCTCAGCCCGCCTGCTGGCGTGTCTTACGTGTCTCAGCCCAGCCAGCAACTCGCTACCCAGCCTCAGCCCATCCAGCGACCCGCCCAATGTGCTCAGCCCAGCCCGCCCAGCCGAAGTTCCAGGCGCAACCAACAGCGTAGTCCGGCTGCCCAGCAGCCAGCAACCCACCCATGGCTTCGCAGCCTTGTGGCTGAGACTAGCTTCAGGCCCAGCCCAACCAGCAACCCGCCTAAGCCAACCCCACCCAAGCCTGTTTGAGACTCGCGGGCCTCAGGCTATCTAGCGCCGAGACTGGGCCTCGCCAGCCTGGGCTCAAGTAGCGTCTAGCCCAGCCCAGTCCGCCTGCTGGCCAGGCCTGTCTGACGTGTCTGAAACTGGCCTCAGGCCCAGCCCAGCCATTAGCCCAGCCCCCTCAGTGCGGCTGCCCACCCCGCCGTAAACTAGCTTCAGGCCCAGCTCAACCAACAACCCACGCAAGCAAGGTCCAGCCAAGCTGCCCGAGACTAGCTTCAGGCCCAGCGCAGGCTTATCTGATGTGTCTGAGACTAGCCTGTGGCCCAGCCCAACCAGGCGAGGCCGGCTTGTCTGACTTGTCTGGAGCCAGCTTCAGGTATTCGGACCTTCCCAACACTGGATTTCGGTGTTCCTGACCCTTCCCTCAAACTAGGCTGGGCCGAGGCGGGCAACGCGAAGCGTTTACAATTACCAGGGCAACTTTTGGTTGGGTACCTGTGTTTCTCACCCACACCCATTTGTTTTGCTTGTGGTCTCAAGGTGAGTCACAATCACAACCTGGTACAAAAATGGGTGAACCCAGAACCATGTGAAGGAATAGAAAGGCGGCCGCAACTATTTCCGTCTGGGACTGCCCCTTAATCCCTTCCCCCTAATAATAAACGACGCCCCCCCCCCCCCCTCCCTAATAAAAAAAATACCCGGCCTGCAAAACAATTTTTATTATTAGGGGTCCCCTGGTTCTGGAGGGCAGGTTTTGGAGGTACTTCTTGTTCTGTGTAGGCTTGTTTGCAACTGTGGTCCCCCTGTTCCGTTCCGTAAAATCGCTTCAACCGCACATTTCTGAGTAAGGAATTTAAGTAGCGGGAGTTGAGGTCACGTTTTGTTGTTTTTGGTTGTGGGTTTGGGTAAACGTGTTCCCGGAGCTCTGGCTTGAAAGTCGCAACTTTGTAGTACAGCCGTGTAAAGGAAACGTGCTCCCGGAGCTCAGGCTCGAAAGTCGCAACTTTGTAGTACAGCCGTAGTAAAGGAAACGTGCTCCCGGAGCTCTGGCTCGAAAGTCGCAACTTTGTAGTACAGCCGTAGTAAAGGAAACGTGCTCCCGGAGCTCTGGCTCGAAAGTCGCAACTTTGTAGTACAGCCGTAGTAAAGGAAACGTGCTCCCGGAGCTCTGGCCTGAAAGTCGCAACTTTGTAGTGCAGCCGTAGTAATTAAAGGAAACGTGCCCCCGGGGTCCCCCTAATGGGGCTGGATTTAAGTACGGGCAGGAAAATATCTACTTTAGAATTGGTTTAGTATTGGCTATTCTAAAAGTAGTATTCCCGGATTTGGGACTTCCGAAACAAATATTTATTATTAGGGAGACCTTTATTAATAGGGGGAAGTGATTACTAAGGCCTTACTAACCCTCACCTACCCGGGCTTTGATTGGGTCTCAAGGAAAGCTCTGCCTGCAACAGCTCAGCACCGTGGTTGGAGAACTCCACCAGCGCGCTGGTGTGCTCCTGGGCCATGCGATAAATGTCGCGAGTCGCAGACAATGGGTGCGTCTTTTTGGCGAGGCTCGGTACAAATTATTTCTTCTCTGTTTCTGTTGTTTTTGTTTTTTTTTGGGGGGGTAGGGTACCATTTGCTTAGGGGTTGTTTCAAAAGCAAGCCAAAAGGAAACCGCCCAAGCTGGTGTGTTGAACTTCAGGTATTCCAACGGATGTCAGATTTGGGCAATGGGATGGTTGGAATTTCTGGGATGTTCCCTAGGAATGCCTCGTTCAATGGGATCTCTGAATTAAAGAATACCACATCTCCTGGACACAGGCCTTGAAACGACCTATCAAATCTGGCGTACACACAACCCAACAGCACTCCGGCAACGTTGTCTCTTCACCCCCGAGCTGAAATCCCAAGGCCCATCAGAGGTTTCACCTGGAAGCCGCCTAGCCTTTCACTTTCGCTGTGACGGCAAGTAACCTGATTCTGGCCAAGCACCAATCCGGTTTGTTCACCCGACGTGCTGAACCAATGTGGGTGTGCCTTTCGTTGAGGGTGTCCCCTTTTTGGGGTGTTTCAAAAGGACAGCGAACGGAAACCGCTGGCTGCGCAGGAAAATCTAATCGCGCAAGGTAAATCAGGAGGGCGGTGTTTCGTGTCTCGGTCCATATTGCTTCCAACAAACCAGTCACATGACAAGTCGCCTGCATTGGCTTCCACATGGCTGACTCGTCTTTGCCCATAGCGACAACAGGGAAGACCTCCATTTTCGAAGGGCTGGGTTTCAGGAAATTGTACAGGACAAAAAATGATTTGGGGTGTTTGGGGGCCATTCCCTCTAGATTTAATTCCTGTAACCAAACCCTTCATTTGGGCCGAATGTGGCGCTAAATCATCTGCTGCGCTGCAATGTTTGTTATTAGCCAGGCGTCCGAGAGATATGGCCATGGGTCAAAATCCCGTACCCCCAGTGAATGAACATCCCAATCCCCGCTAAAATAGACTAAAATGGGTGGTGCACCTACCCCAAAATGGTACCATTGGTTTTGCCCCACACCCATATATGGCGGCAACCGGACACCTCTCCGTCGCGTCTCTCCTTGAAGCCCTGCCACCACCTCACCACTTCCAAAGGCACCTCAGGCGAAGGCTTTCGAGAAAAAACGTCCTGAAGTCGGAAGCCTCGTTGAATGGCATTTGTTTGGAAGCCAAAGGAGAATTGGAACTTGTTCTTGTCCGCTTCGCTGATCTTTTGGAGAGGGGGGCTTGGAACATCCAGTTGGCAACTTGGAGAAAGGCGTTGGTGACCTGGAAGATGTTCTCTGGGATACCGCCGGCTGGGAATCTATGGAAGGCACAGGGTCACTTTCCATCACCGCGCAGAACGCGCAGAAGGCTTGAAGGCTTGTGATGAAAATCAATCATTCCCAGACACTCTGAGAGGCCTACGGCAGATATGACACGCATGGACTCTCTGCGCGTGGCCACTCCCTATTGAATCGGATGCACGGTGCACTCACCCAAATTGGGCCTGCCGGACAACGCCGTGCCTTTGTGGGAGCACCGAAAGTATTCTCCCGCGAACACCGCTTCATGAACGGAACCATCGTGATGCATTCCTGGTGGTTGATTCTTTCCAAGCGTAACAGGGTCATCTTTGACCAACGCTCATACACATACATATTATGTATACGTATGGAAATAAATACAGGAATAAATAAACAAATAAACGAATCAATATTATCTCGGTTGCTTTCTGCTCCCCTGCTAAAAGTTTAACTTTTAGTGCTTTAGTGGAAAACCCATTAGTTGGCAAAAAGTTAAAGTCCTAACAGCCAAGCAACATGCACCAAAGTTATATATATATATATACATAATCGCATATATCATCCATATCATGAATACATTATGAATAACTCTATAATAGAGAAACTGCCACAGAACGACACGCATCAATTCCAGGTACCCCAAAGGCTGCAAATGCGCGCACACGAGGCTGCGGCGTTCACGAAGAAGGACTCCAACCTGACGTCAAGGAAGACGTGGATGGACGATATCCATTTCGCGCCCACCTAAGATTTGCTGGAATGATTCATTCCCCCACAATTACCACCAAACAATAGTTGCCCATTCTTTTTCGTTTCGTGGTTCGAGATTTTGTCCATCCACAGTGTTTGGTCGGTTTGGAGGATGGCTTCCCTTTGCGCGCAATCTTTCAATGTCGAACATTAGTCCAACTCACCGATAAAGCAGTACCTGGACATATAGGGCATTTCCCCAAGACTTAGTTCCTTGCAGGAATGCACAGGATACGTCACCTTTGATCACAGCCAAGAAATTTGCTCACTTCAAATTGGCCTTTTTGGTGATGTTTACACCTGACAATGCCGGAAAACACCGCCTAACCCCCCCCCCAACCCCGCAATCCGTGGGAAAGATTGGAGCCATGGCAAGATGTTGGGCGATCCGAGCTGAAAGGCTCAGTGTTGAGTGGATAGCGGGGAAGATGACTTTGTTGCCGTTGACCCCCCTGCAAAAAGTTGACAACTTTTTGGGGGTTTGGTGTAAAACCCAACTTGATTTCAACCAAACACATAAAGTCTAAAGATCCAAAAGCAGTCAAGATGATTGTATGAGCCAGCAGTGAAAGCATTGCTCCATCAGTTGTCGCAAAAATCAAGCTAAAGAGACATGTCCGTCTGAGGGATCTCAATTCCCTTCGTCAACCCGGGCCCCATCGTGTCCCATGGCCTCCGATCTACAGCGTGCTGTACGACAAGAACAGGCAGCAACAACAAACACGGGGTGGCGCGACACTGCCCAATTCAATGCGAACAAAGATCTCCTTCGGGGATTTTTGCTTGATGCCACTGTCTGGCTGTTGATGACCACAGAATGGTGTCGAGGATTGAATTCAGGATACCACTCCCTGGCTTTGAATCTGTCAATTGATTCAGTTGATCACTCCTGGGGTCAGCCAGTCCCTGCCACTTGGGTTTCTATGCAGCATACATTGACTAGGTCCTCCAGTAGAGAGGTTTAAATTAGGGTACCAACTTTTTTCTTTTTGGTCTATTTTGGTAGGGGAACCCCAAACCCAAAAAAAGGGTTGAGAAGGGCACCTAGCTGGGCGACCTAGTTGGTTCTACTTGGCAAACATGCAACATCACGGCAGTCCTTGAACACCGACATGGACAGCGACGCTCCCTGTTGCAGTCAATAGCGATGACTTGCTGGTGCGAGTAGGGAATGTGGTTGAGTGAACCGGCTTTAAGGGATTCCCGAATAAAGGAAACCAGCAGTTGGATGGCTTTTCTTTGGGTCATTCCCTGCATCTGTCGCACCAGCAACATGAAGACACGGGGATGCTACTTTCACAAAACCCGCGCGAGGCTTACGGCGCGGCAATGAATCCTCCATGCACCGTCTCTGCTTGCCTCCCTTCCCGCCTGACCCCCACCAGCTTCTCCGGCTGCCAGAGCAGCACCATCTGCAAGCCCCGAGTTTCCACCTCAGACTCCATGACCAAGGTGCCAAAGGCCGAGTCGTGCGGTGCGTTCAGGGAAACACCGCAGAAGCAGCCGCCGTTTTGGCACCCTATCGGGTCTTTAGACTCAGTTGGTCCTTCTGCTGGGAGCACTTCTTGCCAAACAAACTGCGTACTTGTACTGTCCTGGTTGCCATGGTCACACGCAACAACGCATAAAATATGTCTGGTCCTCTCGTGCCGGCCCTCCGTACCGATATAAAAAGGGGCACCTATGCGGCTTCTTGGCCTTTTGCAACTTGGAGCGGGTCGCGGCATTGAGAGAGCGCTTTATCTTACCAGGCTGGGCTGCCTCTCCAGTCTCCAATCGCTTGGCTGCTGGGGAGACCCCTATGCAAAAGTCTAACTTGTGAAAATCCGCAGTTTCCCAAAAAGTTAAAGTCCAAAGATCCAACGAATAGCCACAAGATTGGGTCTCCTTGCTCCCCCACCGAGGGTGGCAGCAGCTTTTCAGGAAATATTCGCCACGACACAACAAACTGTGAATTATCAGGGTGTACAGTTGAGCACAAGCTGCAAATACTCGGTGGGAATTCTGCGAAGTTGAGGTTCACGGTCTTTCCAAGCCAAAACTGAAAACATGTTAAGGTCGAGCTTCGCCAAACATGGCAACAAATCACATGCGTATGGCTGAAAATTAAAACACCCATTGGACCGCAGGTCTTCGCCCTAGGGCAAGTTTTCCCTCACCGGGTTGACGATTTTGACAACGGCCACTAGGTCCTCCAGTGAGAGGTTAGACTAAGGGTACCAACTTTTTGTCTGCAGTCTACTTTAGTCGGAACCTCTACTTTAGGGGAAACCTCAAAAGTACCAGTGAGAGGTTGGACTGAGGAACCCTCAAAAGGGGTGAGAGGTCGGGCACCGGCCTCCCGGCTGAGCCCCTGGCCAGTTGGCCCTCGCAGCTCTCGCCACGCGCCAGGCGCTCCAGCCTTAAGAACGGAAAAATCGACCCATCTCGCGGAATGCTCGGGGAGAATCCCACGCGTGATTCTAACGAAACTCGGTTGCTTTCTGCTACCCTGCGACAAGTTTAACTGTTAGTCGTGGTTTAATGGAAAACTCATTAGTTGGCAAAAAGTTAAAGTCCTGACATCCAAGCAAGATGCACCAAAGGAAAGAAAACAAAAAGCAAACAATTTTTCTAGGAGCCATGGAGACTCTAGGCACTGCTCGTTCACGCAACGTCGGCAGCTCCTGGCAATCTCACCAGGACCCCTTTTGTTTTGACTCGGAGAGGACGACGTGAAGTCATCTTTGCTACATAATGTTGACAATGCGAATATCTTCACCTGAGTGAAACATGTTAATTATCCCCTGCCACTCACACTTAACTGCTGGGCGCTTCAATAAAGGACGAGGACGACCAACAACTTGGCATTCCCACGCAACACACTTGGCTTTCCCACGCAACACGACTGTCCGAAAAGATTTGCGGATCTGTACTTGACTCTGGGACGATGATGATTCTAGTAAAAAGTCCCCAATACTCATAGCTGTCGTAATTTCCGGAATCAGGCATGGAGAACAATCCCACCAAGGTATTGCATTATTTGTCGTTGCGGAGGAGACACCGATTGTGGAGTCCATCTTCAAACTAATACAATTCTACAGGACAGGGCGGCTTTTCGTCACATTGACAGTGGAAGTCCAACATCTCTGCAGTGCCAACGCTTTGCAAGGCAGCTGGGAACTGATAATTGTTGTGGTTCGTTCATGTTTTCTGCGAGCAGGCTCGCAATACATCCGACACGTTTGTGAACAGTTGTGAGCTAGCAAGATAGGACATTCCCATTGCCACTTCACGCAGAAGGTTGCCTTAGTATCAGATTTTGAGGTGGCACCCGAAACAATTTGCGACAACCATGCTCACAAAGCACACCACCGACACCACTCGGGGCCCAAACGCGGTGACTACACGCTCCTCCACAGGCGAGAACATGCGCTGCATGGGCTCCTCGCTCGTCGGCCGCTCGTCGGCTTGCTGTGGTTTCGGCGGGTTTCTTGTGGGCAATGTGACAAGAAGAAAGCCTTGCCAGAAAAACGAGTCTACTCCCCACCACCAAGAAAAGGAGCCCACGAGGGATCCGTGCCAAAAGCAGCGCATTTCAGCTGTCTGGGATCTTTTGGTCGCCATGAGCCACCCAAGCAATCTCAGCCTGCTATAGTCCATGTCCGACCAGACAAAAAAACAACACTTTATCCTGTGATCAAAGAATGCGTGGTTCGACAGGTAGCTAGCCCATAAAAAGAACTTACCTTCCCACGCTAGCCCATCATGCGGCTTCCCAAGCAAAGGGAAACCAAAAGGAGCTGGCCAACCAACTCATGGTGCTACAAAACGAAACCAATTCTAGCGCACAACATGATGCAGCCGTCCTCACCAAAACACATAGTCATTCTACCAACAGGCTGAAAGAAAAAAAGTAGCTGGAAGCTGCGCGTGGATGAACGTAGACAGCTTGTTTGCTTGGTTGAATGGTTGCTTGCTTGCGTGGTTACGTGGTTGCTTGGCTGCTTGGCTGGTTTATTGCTAGTTACTTGCTTGCTTGCTTGCTTGCTGGGTTGCTCAGTTGCTCGGCCGCTGGGCTGCTTGCATGCTTGCTTGGTTGGTTTCTTGGCTGGTTGCGTGGTTGCTTGCTTGCTTGCTTGCTTACCTGTATTACACACAAACACACAAACCGCCATTTGGCCCCTCCAAAGTGCCAACGCACACAGTTGGCACCTGAATACTCCGTGGCGAGTTCCTCCATTCGCTCTCTTTGGATAGCTCACAGTGGATTGAACTTGTACATGCTGACATACCAACAGACTCACCAATGCAAAGTTGCGTGCTGCTGTCTTGTTGCCGCTCTTGTACGGTGGCTGTGCACTTCGCAAAACTGAAAAACACGAACCACCAAGAACTAAAAAACCGCTAGGCCTGCAAAGAAAACGACACCTGCCGCTCCCCTCATCCCAAACCACGGCTCCTTCGAGGGCGCGGGCAACGTGTCGCTGGTGATCCTGGCAATACACGAGCTGCGGATTTTGGGGCTTACGAGTCTGCCTTCCAAATGACAAATGAATCGGCAAAGGCCCAAGGAGCGTCTTTTTTGAGGGCGCGCCCCATATCCCCCCGTGTTTGTGGTGTAAGGATCACCACAAATTTGTGGATTCAATCCTTAAAAAGACGCGCCATCCACGTGCCAATTGATTGGAGGACAGCAAGTTGCGTCCGATGCAAGCCTTGCGCAAAGCCAACTGTTTGGCCCAGCGAATGCGCGGGCCATGCTGCTCGGTGTGTTCCTTCGCAGGAAGCCAAAGACTGCCACTTCAAGCCAATGGTGCCAAAACACCCAAACAGGGTGCGGTACCCGTCAAACCTGCAGTGCCCTCTGATTTTGGGCGTGGAAGGTTCTCAGCGGCATGCCGGAGCAAGTTGACCCTAAACCAAACCTAAATTAGCAGGCGAGACTCTGAGAAACTTCTTCGCCGGGATTCCGACTCGACTTTCACAGGTTGCGATGAGAAGCAACACGCAAAAGTGCCATCTGCAAAACTTTGTCCAAGGCGTGGCAACAGGTTGCATTCCTGGCACAGTTGTCTAACTAAGAGCCATTCAGGCCGAGTCACTCACCCGACCAGCTTCGATCCCAGATTCTTGGACCAACTTCTGGCTTTACCCATCCTCCATGGAACCAAGTCAGAGGCATCCTTTTCTTACGTACATGTTAGGTCCAAATGTTTCCCCCGATTGTGCACTTTGCCCTACCTGATTTGTGTTGATCTCGAGGATTTGTTGAACAAAGCTACACCGCGCCCATGCTCCGTAACTCGATTGCTGCTGATCCCTCTCAAAATGAACTGTTTGTGGGTTCAATGGAAACCCCAACAGATTTCAACCAAACAAATCCAGTCTAAAGATCCGTCCACTAGCAATCAAGGCTACACGCCCCAAGCCAAGGGGGGCCTTTCCATCAAATCCAGCGGCGGCGGCTGAGGCCGCCCACCTGAGCCGGAAAGCGAATCCAAGCTGCAAAGTGGGATCCCGCACCCCTGTTTGGTGGTTCATAGCCGGGTGGCGGTGACATGGAAGAGTGAACCCCATGTACCCTCTAAAGCAGCCAGAGATCCAAATCCCAAACCAGTCTAAACCACCAATTGAGGGTTGCCTGATAATATATGGAGGCAAGGGGGGGAAAATGCCAAACCGCAAAAACAGGCCAACGAACGAACCAAGCGACCCACCCAGACCGACTGACCGACCAACCTCACCCACCAATCACTCAACTGGCCAACCATCCGCAACCAAAACAAACAGTTAGGTGATTTGTTTCTGTGTTTCGCCAAGGTGGGCAAGCCTTTGGTCGGGGTATGCGGAGAGTGCATTCCCAATGCTCAGAGACTCGCTTGCCAGGAGTGTGGCCTACCCCGGTCGAGCGCGTTCCGCATTGCATCTAAGTTGGCTCCAAGAGCTCTTAGGACACCCAGCACTTTCCGGGCCAGACTCGGTTGCTCGGACGCGGCTGCCCTCGCTCTCAAACACACTAAATAGATGCTCGTGCAAAACTGCCGTTGGCATGCATAAACCGCGCTTGGCTGCACTCCATTCAACTCACCCCGCATTGCTTCAGTTGGCTTCCGATTTGGCTCTTTGCGCAATAGATCCAACCAGTTCAGGGCAGCTGCGGAAGCGGCCCCTACAAGCAGGAAGTGCCAAGCTTGGGTGTGCGCCTCAGCTTGGTTGACGTTGGAAGGGGAGCAAAAGTTTAACTTTTAGCTGTGAAGTGGGGGGATTTCAACCACTCAACCACAAACTGCAAACATGCAACATGTTTCACCCAACAACAACAACAACATGTCAGCCCCCCAGCCTAAACCCTTGCCCCCCCGCCGGATTCCGCTCGCCTCTCAGGGGAGACTCCTGCGGAGATACCGCGTCCTGCTGTTTCGAGCGGTGGAAGCTGCGACCGGGTGGATCTCGATGTAAATCTCATTCCGGGTCAGGAGTTTGAACAAGCCCACGAAAAACAAATACGCCACAATGGTTTCTCCCACATTGGTTCTATTACAAATAGCTGGTGGGAACCAAACAACTAAATCTCGGCGGGATAGCAAGGGAAACCACTATAAAACACATTTGAAGCAAAGGAGTCTTTAGTGAACAACCTGGTGAAAGTTTGAAAGTCACACCAATACCAGGAAGCTCAGTTGTTCAGTGACCCTGGAAAAAGAAGGGAACCCTTTTTTGGGAAGACCATTTTAGTGAGCAGCCACCAAAGAAAAAGGGAAAAAGGGAGCCACTGAACAACTGAGGAAGGAACAGGAATTGACGACTGCATAATTTTCAGCGGCTGGCGATAGTACTTTTGGCCGGGAGTGTCACCTGCAAGCCTCGCATAGTTTCCAAAGGTCTGCTCCCCCGGGAAACATCCAATTTGCTTCGTCGTTTCCTGCAAAAAAGAGAAAACACATGTCCAGTAGTGAAAACGATTCCCTTCATATTCAACAGGGGAAATGTTCAGAACACCAAATCTGAAACGCACACGGAACTCTCAACTCGGCTGCCCACCTGTAACTTGCGGCTTAAATTCGGAAACCCAACAACTAAGCCACCTACAATCCACCAAAAACATACGGAACCGGATGGCTGGGAGCCACCAAGAACGAATTTGTGGTTTCCCTTTTTCCTCTATACACAACCAAGCAACTGTGAGTTTTTCTCAAAAAACTACACGCACGTTTGGCTGGGCACCACCAAGTGAATCCTACGGCTTGGATTTCACCGGACATCCCATGTCCTGTGAGCTTTGAGCCCATCGTTTGAGCGCCCCGAAGGACGGCATGATCTCCGCCTCATCCTGCGGAGTTGTGCCCCTTTTAAAAATGAGCGGCAAAAGGAGAGCTGGCTGGTCTCCTTTGTCCGTGGCTCGGGGTTTGTTAGTTGCTCGCATGTTCGTACTCTTTCAAGGACACTCCTTTTACTGCTGCATAAGCAATACGAGGGGATCGCTCCGGCTTGGTCTCGATCTCCAGCTTTTCCAAGGTCAGCTCCGGCCTCGCCAACCCCCTCTCGTCGCTGCCCACGAAAACAAAGGAACTGAAAGGCTAACATGCATTTGTTGCGTTTGATGGATCTTAAGATAGGCCCTTGGGATAGCTTAGTGCATCCCTACCCTTATAGTAGGCACCCAGCTATCGTCCTATTGGTCTTTAAAGGGTGATTCCCTTGCTTAACTACTATGCCGGGCATTTTCTCAAGTCTGCGGGGGAGCCCTTGTCGTCATCTTTTGACTTGTGGGGAACCAAAAAGAAGCCAACGGACGGAGCAGTGTCTGAGGACTGATGCTGCGGATGGACGAAATCCTGCACCACCTAAGACAACCTGGAATGATGGTTCAACTGCAAATACCAACCAAGCTTTCAAAGTGGCGCAGGATTTTGTTTACCCACAGTATGTTTGGGCAACTCAAAAAAAGGGAAGGGCGATGCCAAAGTCATCTTGAAATGTCAGACCCGCGATCGGTTATGCAAATCACGGAACACCTCTCTATAACTCTCTCACATGGCGTGCCGTGATGATTTTAGTGTTCCGGGACGCCGGGGTGTGCGCTTCCAGCTGTCTCATCGCTTGAGGCTCTAGTCCCAGCAAAACCGGAGGCCTGCAGATCTCTGTCGGAGATTTTGCACAGCTGCAACATGACTAGAGACCTGGGTGTGTGAAGCTGATACACTGGATTCCTGTGCACCCTGACAGGGTTCCGTTTGTTGACTATCTTGGGGTAGCTCAAACCGAGGGGTCTCCCTTTTGGGGGAATCAATCACCCCTGGGTTTCAGTCCATTTTGGGTGTAGTCAAACAATTCGGAACGCTGCACCCTGAAAACCCGACAAGTGAACGCCTGTAGCTCTTCGACTTCTCCCAGACACCCCGCAGCACTGGAAGTGGCGTGAACCAACCGCTGATTCTTTTGGCCCAACTGAAGGCTTCTAGGTCCTCCAGTAGGCCAGTAGAGAGGTTAGAATAAGGGTACCAACTTTTCTCTGTAGTCCAAGTAGGGGAACCCTCCCCCGAAAAAGGGTAAAAGGGCACCACTGGGGGACCTAGGCTTCATGCTCGGAAGCGTGAACCACGAGGTGCAGTTGTTGTTCTTTTCTTCAAAGTAATCATTGCTTCACCCGGCCACTGGCACCCCGGAATCTTGACTCCGACTCCGGCCTTGGAAGACCAAAAAGGCGACAGGGCGTAACATGGGTTGGCTGACAGTGGGAGAACCCCAGCCAAACCCTTCGATCTGCCTCATCGCTGGCCTTCTGAAACCCTTCAAAGGCCACCCAAAAGCTAACCAGGGGCTTCGAGGTCGATTTTCGACAGCTCGCTAGGTTTGGACAACCGAGGGTTGGCGTCTGAAAACCGTTGATTGAAATCAGCACGTTTACCCTTCCTCCCACAAAAATGGCACCTGTGGGAGGGTACCCAAGATAAGTTTCCTCTTGGAGGGACCCCCTGTCAGGTGCCATATTAGTGGGCGGAAGGGTACAACTTACAAATTGCCTTCTCGCAAAAAGGAAAATCGGGACATGCGGCGTGCTGGTCTGCTCATCTTCGCCCCCTTGCTTGTGACGAACACATGAGTGTTGGCATATTGCTGAGTCGCCCCAGACGTCGCCCCAGACACTGACAGTGGCACCGGCCCTACAGCACTGCCATCATCAAAGGTCGCCCCCGAATCAGTTGTTGTATAAGGTGAAACGAGCTCAGTTTCTCTGCTGCAGCCAATCAAGTCGTACTTTGACAATCCACACTCGAAATCATGGGACCTGTGGCGTTTTTGCCAACCCCTAGGGGCCCACGCCACATTTGAGGCCTTTGGGGTTCCAGACCCAGCAAAAAATTGGGCCAAGGGGCTGGGGAAACTGAACCGAGGCGTTCCGCCAGCCGAAGCGTTCCGAGCTTCCGGGCCAGGGTGGGCGCTCGAGCGCGCTCTTTTCTGAGAGCTCCTACGCACCAAATCTGAAAAGCAAAGCCCAGTTCCAGGCGAGCCGTAGGGGAAACCAGGTAAAAGACCTAGAGGCACACCGATCGGTTACCTACTATGTATGGAAGAACGGGGTCACTTAGAGCCGGGTCCAGCCTTGAAACATGAAATGTCGAAAATGATCCTGCTGGTCCAGCAAAGAGCGCACCCCAGTGAATCATATTTGCTCTCCCCAAAAAAGGATGAAGGCTTTTATGGTCCTTTCACAGGGATTCTCGCCGAAATGGGAGGCATCAAACCACCAAGCCAAAACGCGAGTTATTTGCCTTTTGCAAAGTGCTTCGGGGGTTCTGGTTTACTCGTAAGAGTCAAACGAAGCCTTCATTCTCAAATTCTGAGGTTGCCTCCCGCCTGGCAACTACAATGTGACTGGAGGGATAGACCCAAAGCAACTTGGGGTTCTTGGTGCGATTCTTCCGCGTATAGACCGAATTGACCCAATGGGGTGAACCTTCGGTGTTTCTTCTTCAACGGATTTGAAGGCTCTTCCCTCAAGGCAAACTCTTGAAGCTGCCGATGCTCCCAGTCTCATAGGGAAGCCTCGGCATAGTTTGGCTTGCGACTGGGTGAGTTCCTCAGCTACGAAAGACGCGTCTGTCTCTTCAGGAGATTCCCTCCAAAAGATCTGGCTGTGGGTCAAAACCCTGTACCCCTGGTGAACATCAAAATAGGTGGTACATGGGTGTTCATCCGCCCCAAAATGGAGGCATAGGTTATGACCAATGGCCATATTATGGGTTTCAGATGGTTTTAGATATGCCTTCAACCTTTCAAAGCGAACGAAAACTGGCTCCCAGCCCCCAATGTATCTGCAACCTGGTTTCCGATTCCCAATTCATGGTTCCGCTATCCAATTTCCAGGAGTCTTGAATCGATTTGCGAAACTCCTTTGTCCTCGAAGTCTTCCCGACTGCCCGGTAATCTTCTAGATTTTACCTAAATGAATGGAATGAACCAAGGCTCTCTGAAGTCGAACGGACAGGCTCCGTTTGACTGCTGGGCAAATGGGACTGTTCTGCACAAGAGCTCTCACTCTTTCGGTGGCTCTGCAGAAAGGTCAAACTGAAACCAACAAGCTACTAGTTGGGATAACATAATTTGTGCATGCGGTGGTTCGCTAAGATACAACAAGTATTTTCCCGACATGATATCTTTGCGAGTGGTGCCCCCCCCATCCTACGTTATTTCGCGCTGGCCCGTAGGCGCCTCGCAGCTTGAGCAAGACAAAGGAAACCTGTTGTTTCTAGCCTAAGTTGATGGCTCAAAATGGCATGTGTGTGTGTGTGCATTTTTGGTTTAGTCCTTGAGGCAAAAGACCTCACTTCCTGAGTGGATCGGCACCAAAATGGAGGCTTTACCAAAAAAAACATAGAGATCCATAGAGTCCCTGAACTCGGGAAGTCCAATTGAATGTGACAAAGCTGCGAGCGAAGCTCAGGGTGGACCAAGCAAGCAAGCAGTCCAAAAGAAAAGACCTGACACATCTTCAACCTAGAGCGAACAAAAACAGGTTCCCAGCTCAAACAAGTATCTTTAACCTGGTTGCACACCAGGTAAACACAACTCAATGCCCTGGGAGCCCGACACTTTAACCGCGGCCGCGAAGGGGGTTCAAAGGCTTCATATACATGGCTGTGGCTCAAAGCAGCGTACCCGAAATCGCCACCTTGGCAATTTCTACCAAAGACGGAACACCTGCGCAACCCTCGCACTTTCGCTTTGAGCCACCCCCCATCTTTCGGTCCCAAAAGCGGCGAGCCCCGCTTTTTCCACGTGAGTCGAAATCAAAGCCCGGTATTAACATGGTCGACCCAGAACATGCTTCAAGAATTAAGAAGCCGGCCGCAGCTATTTATGGCAAGGAGATTGTCCCTTACTAATCTTCATCTACCCGAATCGGTTTTGAGCACGTGGCTCATGTCCGTTCGATCCGCGTCTCCTCCGCCTCGGGCCACCAGCAGCGGTGCAGCGGCGCCACCACCGCCGCCAGGTGCTCCGCAGAGACCTCCCCGCGGTCGCCCGCGAGCGAGCGCGAGCGAGCAAACGACGTCGGGGGTGCCTTCCGTGGGTTGAAAAGCTGAGTTGAACCCACGTCCATAGGTGGCGAATGGCGAGCATCGCAGTGATGCAAGGGGGATAATTATGGCCCTGCAGGCCTCCACTTGTGGACTAGGATAGACTCGACCTATGGGTGGTGAACTTTCTCCTAAGAAAAGAGAACCTCTCCTAGAGCCAGGCTGGGTTTAAGTCTATCTTGGGGGGTCATTTGATGGAACTCTTGGCTTCCCCCCCCAGAATTTCAGAACCTCTGGGTTTAAGTCTATGTTGGCTGGGCTCATAAAAGTTTAACTTTTAGCGGGCAAAATGGAAACCCAACCACTAAACCTGAAAAAGCAATCAAGCTAAGGAACCGGATGGCTGGGAGCAACCAAGTAAACGTGGACCTCAGTTGCCCAAAGGACCCAGACATACAAGGTTAACCTTTTGGAGCCATAACTAAAAATGGGCCAACATGGGACAACCACAAGGTCAAAAGGTCGATTCGCTTTGGGGGTCTATCTTGAAGCGTCCAAAATTGGAACTCTCTGCTTGGGTGCTGTAGATCCCCCAGCAAAAAGTTTATTTTTTGTTGGTTGAAAGGAAATATGAGGGGAATCCAAAAAGTTTAAAGTCTGAAGATCCAACCCAATAGCAGTAGAGTCTGTGTATCATTCCATCCCACTCGCGTCGATTTTTTGGTTGTCCGCCGGCCGAAGGCCGACCCGAGCGGCACCTGCACCGAGCTGCCCGTCTCACCCTCGGCCGAGGCCACAACCTCATCACCGGCAACTGAGCGATATGGCCCAAGGTGAAAACCGCCGCTAAATGGGGGTTCATGATGGATGAGCACAAAGGTGATTGAAAAATGGGATGTTTTTTAATGGGGGGACACAACAAAAAAAGATGGTATCTCCCACATGACAAGGTCCTTTACATGGGCCGAGCACTATATAAGGTGATTGAAAAAAGGGATGATTCGTGGGGGGAAACAACCAAAAAGGATGGTATCTCCCACTAAATGGGACTTGGGGGACCAGGAATATTGATCAACGCCCCAAGCAGTCGTAATGTAGGAACTCCCCCCCGGTTGTCAACCAACCAAGATCCGGAATTTTGCAAACATGGGGTCCCCCAAACTGGATGATCCTTTTCCGAGTTGTGACTTGGTGCTGGAAGCACGAAAGGAACCATCTCTGCTTGGGGTTGATCATTTTACTAGGAAAGCAACTGCGTCTCACAACCTGCCCGCAGTTGGAAGGTGCGAATTGGGCGAAACTCCCCAACTGCCTTTCTGAGTGCGCGCTGATATTCTGTTGCCTGTCCGAGTATATCTGGATCTCTAATGCCTGGTTGTGTTTCAACAGCATGCACACCAAGACAGCAACACCACCTGGCTTTGACACCGTCTACTTGTGTGTCCTCTGCAGAACACCTGCAAGTGCTGCTCATAGCTTGTACTGCGCAATGCCAAAGAAACATATACCCGTGCCAACAGAGCATAATTGTAGAAGAGTCTTGTGCATCTCCTAGGTCCTCCAGTAGAGAGGTTAGGATAAGGGTACCCTTTTTTCTGTACTAGATTAGTAGGGGAACCGTCCCCAAAAAAAAGGTAAAAGGGCACTACTGGGGGGCCCAGTCTCAACTGCGGAACGGTCATATCGATGGTTGAACTGAGAGCCGCATTGCCCAATGTCAGTCCGCGCGCATCCCAGCTTGTCCCTTCTGCAAGGGACTTCCCGGGGAACAAAACACATGCCGCGAATTTCCGTGGACGGGAGACGAGCCTCAAATGATTCACCCGCACGTCCGCGCTTCCCTTTGAGGCGAGGGCGAGAAAGCCCAACTCCCGGTTGTCGCTCTGGCGCGAATGGCACTCATGTCGTTTCCCGTCAACCCAAAAAAGCCAACAGAGTGGGCTTCACTCCGCCCCCGAAAGATATGCTCAAGACGTGAGGGGAAAATCAGAGCTGGGCCAAAATTTTGACAACTTTCGCCCGGGGAAGCTCCAAAAAAGCCTTGGGGCTGCACGATCCGGACCGATATCCGATGGCGCTTCTTCCTTCACCACGAGAAGCTACCTGAAGTCTGGTCTAAGATGAAGACACCCTTGGCACACCCCAAATGGGATCACACTCAAAAACTCAACATATCTTCAATGTCACACAGCCCGCAGCCTGAGAAACTTATCTTGACTGTCATAAGCCCCTTGAAGAAAAACTGCATGAGGGCCAAACTGCAAGGAGCCGAGGGAACACTTTCACAGGCTTGGGAAAGATAAGACACATGAGGAAACTCCTTGCTGGACTCCAGGACAAGTGAAGGGTCTCCTGGGTGTACGTGCAAACAGGCCGCAGGGAGTGTATGATCTGGGGCCCCTGGATCCCTACGACAAGGAAAACGGCGTCCAGGGACATCGTCAAAGTGGGTAAGTGTGTGCCACAACAAGGTAGTTGCTCGTGGACCCGTTTCATTGAAAGGGATGCCCGAGTTTCTGTCCAAGATGCTTCTGATCAGCTAGCCTTTAGCACAGCCATGAGGACTCAAAATAAGTCCAGTTTCCTTTACGCGCGCTCAAGGAAACGGAGGTTTGACTGCCGAATAGACTGAGCAATGGCTCTGGGCTGCACAGATCCGCACCTCCAGCCAATTGTGATGGTTTCCTTTCACACCTGAAGTGGCTGTTTGATGTCGGAATCACATCGGCACAGGCACGGGAGGCTTGAATCAAAGCCGCATGCCCTGTGAGCGTGTTGCATGCAACACAGAAACCAATCGGGTCGTTAAGTTTACCGACAGCTCTGTTCTGCTCACGTCAGCCTTCCCGTGTTATAGGAACCTCACCTTCCTGTCCCAACAGCCCGACGTCACCTCCAGAATGGCTGCATCAGCATTTGCGAGCACCTGTCAAACAGAGTCGAAACACTTGGAAGCCCACTGTAGACTATATATATATATATGTATGTATATATGTATATATATATGTATCATAAATACATATACATATATATATATATGTGTGTGTATTATAAATATTTATATATATATATTCATACATATTGTAGTCCCTTCACGTGAGGCCCCAACCCCCATGTCTTAGGCCACAATTGGGCCAGCTCAGATCGGTTCCAGTGGCCAGGACGTCCGGTGAAGCGAGCTGCTCGGGAGATTGACATGAATTGCACACCACTGAGAGACGACAGGTAAATATGCACATACGTGGATGCTAAATAGTGGAATACATATATATATATATATATACATACATATACATATATATATATATATGTATTGTTGCTGTACATTCGTCCTTAGTCATCCGCGGCCAAAATAACGCAGCTTGCATTCTCAATCATGTGTAAAGCTCACTTATACATCCTGTGCTGTCGATGCGGAAAGCAGAACCAAGTGAACGACATCGTTTTCGGGGTACTCGAGAGCCTTCTCTGCCTGAATGTTGTAAACTAGTCACAAGAACATGCACAGGACGTGTGTCGCATTCACAACAGAAGCTGTGTCACTTGATGGTGCGATAAGTTGGGAATTGAGTCCAGGTGTTGGGAATGAACCGTTTTGGGATTGCCTTGGAGGAAAGCATTGGGATTGTTTAAACCAAGTCGAATCTATCACCCCGCCAGTTGGTCTTGGAAACCGCTTCCGGCCTTTGGTCGGTGCTACTCACGCACCAATTACACTGCACCCAAACATGCTCGAACATCAAACCTAAAATCGGAATGACCTCTGGAAGCATTCTAGCAGTGGCAGGTGAGGTGATGGAACCCCCAGACTCACGCTGGTGTCGGTGTGTTCCCTCCCAGGATGAGGAAACAACCAGGGCAAACTGGGGTCCGCTGACCCTCCAAAGCAAAATTGCCGGTTCCCCTTCAGTGATCGATCGATCCTTTCTGCGGAAACTTTTCTCACAAATAGTCTATTGATTCGAGGTGAGCATCAATCCTGGGTTGTCTGGACGCCTGATTCACAAACCACAGTTCTCATACAAGTGTACCCTGTTTAGGACATGTCATTCTTCCAAGGGAGCCTGCTGACTAACAACATTTAAGTTTTAGCAGCTAAGTAGGGATTTCCCACTAGACCACAATAATTAAGCAAAAATGTAAATGTTTCCCAACAACAACCATGAAACCAACTAAAAAGCTAAGCTAAGGAATCCGATGGCTGGGAGCTGAGAGGCTTTTGGAGTCCCGCCTCCTTCTCCGACGGAAGCCAGAACCTCGTTCCGGCGAGTGAGGACCAGAATTTACCGGTGGCACAGGCCGAAACAAGCTTGAACCATCTCCAACAGGCTGTTTTTTTTGTTTGCCTTTAGGGACAATGCGCCTTGTAGCGATTGGCCTCAAGTAAAGCATTGGTTTATCCCCCATGCAAAGGTCGACGATCCATTAATATGCAAGTGCAAAACAATGAACAAGCAAAGGACTCCCTGCTCTAACACGCCATCCACCCGGAAGGGCAGATGCAATTGCTGTTAGAAGGCATTAGACGGTGGCTTTGGCCACAAACTTTCAAGTACCATCCCAATTGGTGTAAATTCGATACTTCCCGGCGTGCATCAGGAGGGCGTCCCCAATTTTGACACTGAAACCCTCTCTAAGTCTAAAGTTTGCCTTCAAACGCCGACACCAACACCCCAAAGAAGATCAACGGACAAAGCCTTTCGTAGCGCACCACTAAGGATCGGCAAACACGATCCCGATCCGTGACTTTGTTGATGGGGTGATTTGGAAAACGAGCGGGTGTGCAGGCGTTTCCCAAGCGCTTGTGAGCTGATCAACCAGATCGGATGGGAGTCATTGACTCACGGACCCTGGCTGAATTTCACTGAAGCCTCTGGAGCCCTGGGCCTATTCTCCCCCATAGCTCCATGGCTTTCAGGCTGAAAAACACAAAACAAAAGAGCCATGAAGGCAAAGAAATCGGCCATCTGCGCTGCCCGGCTCCAGGGCTTTGAGTTGGATGTGCACCTGGCTCGCTGCTCCTTTTTGGTAGGTTGGAAGCCCCGATCGCGAGAAACTCCTGGTGGAATGGGCTGTCACCCGCTTTGGTAAACTGAACAAGCGATCCTTTGATTTGACAGATGCTCGTTGAAGCCATTGGTTCTGCACAAGAATGTGCGGGATCACTTGTGCTCCTGTTTGTCGGTGTCCGGGAAGGTAGTGACTGAAAACGAGTACATCTGTGTGTCAGTGTGAATCGTGGGGGACTCATTTGGATTCGGGTTGATGGTTTTGGCAAATAGTGCGTCTTTGTTTTAAGGGGACCTCAACCAATGGTGGGTGTCCTTTTGGTGTCCCTTTAAAACTAACCAAAAAGGTTGCTACCAACTCCGGGGGAAAAACAAAAAAATAACACTCACACTCACACACAGATCCCTTTCGTGGGCTCTCGGGTGCCGCTGTTGCTGCCACCGAACACAAACAGCTCGCCGAAAGGTGACAGGCTGAGTCGTCTTGGCACAGGTCAAACCCGCTCGGCGGCGAAAGCCAAGTGAGGACGCCAACCATTTGGAGCCAAGTTATCTTGGAAGAGTAGGTGGCGCTGGAAATGCTTAAGTTAAAAACAAATGGACATCAGTGAGCCAATCTGACCCACAAGGGTCCATGAGATAATAGGGTCAAAACAAATTGCCCGATTTTGCCCCACAGCCAACTCAATGCTCTGCAGGTGGCTCCCCTTCCCAAAGAAATAATCAAATATCCGATCGCACTTGATCAAGGGGCCTTCCTCGAACCCCTGGATTCCCCACTAAGTTGCAATCTGTTGCGTCCAATACAAATCAACAAACCCTAGGAGCCCAAGACCGATTTCATTCTTTCAGGCCTTTGGGGGTTCAATGATTCAAGGCCCTCATATTTAGAGTCCAAGGGTCCAGGGCACTCCCAGGAAAGGGAAAAAGCCCGAGGGACTTTTTTTTGGTGGGGAGCTTTCTGCTCGAATTGTCCGTAGCTCCCTACCCGCAGCTCAAGTTGGCCGGCAGCGCCGCCATGCCCGCGCCGGAGGCGCCCGCGGCGGTCTGGGCTGCCTCCGCCACCTGTCTGCACCAGTTCCCAGAGGCTGATGGCTGATTTGTGCAATCGCTTCTTCCTAATGCTAAACAGTCCCCTAATACTAAAACCGGTTTTTCCAGGGGACCGCTTAGTGCTAGGGGGGGGGGGTTTAGCATTAGGGGGAAGGGATTAGTTCCAGAGATGAAGCCATGGCCATGTTGGATCTTTTTGGAAGATGATTTCCCATAATTAAGACATAAGTAACGATTAATTGACCCATAAACTAGGGGCTCAAACCAACCCTGACACCAGAGTCATAATCAACACCTGGTATGAAAATGGTCGACCCATAACCATGCTTCAAGAATTAAGAAGGTTGGGTCTTTTTGCAACCTGATTTCCAGACATAACTAACGGTTCATTGACCCAGAACCTAGGGGGTCATGCCAGGGATTCATGTATGGACGTATATATTCAGACTTTGATTGGCACACCCCTGAGAGGCGGCCCATGCTTTACAAGGTCGATACATTTGTCCGAAAGGAAACCACCAAGTTTTCATTCGGTTCATTTGCCACCACCCAAACATGATGCCTTGAAGACGTGTCTGCAAAAAAATGCGGTTGAGGAGCCCACATAAACACTCCCACAAGCTCGTGCGCGGGGATGGCTTCAGACTGCCATGGGAAAGCCCAGGCAAGTCAGAGATGAAGCCCAAAGTTACAAATGACCTCCGGATAAATCCAGGCAATCAGTCTAAACGTCTAAATGGGCGTTGATCAAAATGTCCTTTACATGGGATGACCACTGTTGGAAAACCACTTAACAAATGAATGTCCCACATGGGAAAACTTAGTCATGGTCATTTGGGGGCCAGGAAGATTGATCAAGCCCTACATGTAAAATGCGCATGTGTCACAAGTTCATCCAATTCAGCAGCCACTTGCGCGGCCTCACTCCATCCTGCCTCGTCGTTGGCGCTGGCGACGCTCGCCTGCAGGATTTATTATTCCTCGCTCGGGTGCCGTCCACTAGTCATCCGCGACGCTGTATACCGATGGTGATGGCAGCGGTGATGATGGTGATGATGATGACGACGACGACGACGACGACGATGATGATGATGATGATGATGATGATGATGATAAGAACGACGACAACGACAACGACAACGACAACGACAACGATGACGATGACGATGACGATGATGATGATGATGATGATGATGATGATGATGATGATGATGATGATGATGATGATGATGATGTGGTGATGGTGGCGGTGATGATTATGATCATGATGATGACGATAATGATGATGGTTTGATTGTGACATGCTCAATACTGCAAAGCTATGCCCCTACAAACGAAAAGTCTGTCTGACATTTGGTGCCCCAGCAAAGGAAACAAACTACTTTTTGTTGCGCGCACTTCCAGGATGCGCGTGGGGCCCAAGCGACATCTCTGGTTCTGAGTAGCCTGAGCACCCCATGGGCAATGCCACTCCCATCGACAAACATCCGATCGCTGGAGAGATTTCGTGAGAACAAGCAGTTTGCTTCGTCGGATCTGAGAGCAAACCAGACGATTTGTTTTTTCCAAGTGCCCTGCAGAGTTCCATCACTCGGAGGTTCTTTCATCCCGTTGGCACTAATGAAGCCCGCCTGCGCGTGACATGGGGAGCGCATGCGCCGGAACCACACTGGATCTCCTCGAAGCCTCTCTGAACAATTCAATCGCAAGTAAGCACCTATGCCACCTCCATTTTCTTTGGTCAAAATATCAACCATGACACCAGAGTCATAATCAAAACCCTGTATGAACATTTGGTGAACCCAGAGCCATTTTCAGAGAATTAATGCGGCGAAGGCACACATGTATGGCAAGGGGAGTATCCCTGACTAACCTTCATCTACCCGAATCGGTTTTGAGGACATGGCGGAATTTGCTGGTGCGATAGGCAGGGAATGAGGAAATGACCCCTATAAACCATCCAACTGGTGCAGGGGCGTGGGGAATCACCACTTCTATGATACACCAGGAAGGGCGTCCTTCTTAACTAAATTGTTCAGAGAAAGAACAAATCCCTTGTATCACAAGAGTGGGGGGGGAAGAACAAAAAACAGCGATTTTATAACCCTGAATCCAGATATGTCCAGTGAAATGGAGTCCCTTCAAGCCTTATGTCAGCTTCCTCCCAGGCCATGCCGCGCCTGGGCTGGGGTCGCCGGCGAGCGCTTGGAGAAGGGCGAGGTCACCGACCTGGAGACGGGTCTGGAAGCCGCCAGGGGTCCGGATCAGCTGAAGAGGGAAACACTTCTGGTGGGTAGAAGGGAAACAAACACGAAACCAACGAACAAACGACTAAACACCTGGCATGAACCGGACCAAAATGGTCCAAACACCAAAAGTATGAAGTCCAGAAACTCAGGAAGTGAGCAAATGACATAAACAAGACACTTTTTTAAACAAAAAGGTTGAATTCAACCCTGCGACCTCGAATCCACACCTGCTGCGGTTGGAGGCCGGGCTTCTTGACGCCAGCCGCGAAGCCAGCGTGGTGGTCACGGTTTTGGACCTCCCAGGGTATTCGTAGGCTCACCTTACCCCACTTGGTGGTTCGGGACTTGAACCCTTGGTTCTTGTAGAAGGTAAATGGGAAACCACCCACCACCAAGCCACCAATCCAAACCACCAACTAGACGGTAGGTTCTATTTTAGGTAGCGGATTCCCAAGAAAACATTTTGTGGTAGAAGAATAGAGCGGGCATCAGCCATGAAAGAATGGTCAGACGTATTGTTCCTCAGCTACGACCGCTGCCGGTGATGTTTGTCCAAGCTCGCAGAGTCCAAGAAGGTTTTAGGGGTCTTTTGGCCCTATGCTCCTCTAAACACGCAAATAGCTTGCACTTGCATCCCAAGGGAAAGATGTGCCAAATAATGGGCTCAAAGAAGAAACATGACAGTAATCGCCTGCTCATGTACACCGGATATTTAAGGGATGTATTGCGTCCTCCTCATATACGTCGTGCTGCCCCATATCTAGGCATGTTTGATGCATGATACTAGGAAAAGTACTGGAAGCTGAAAAAGGGTTGCGATGTCTAAGTGTGACAAGCCATCCACAAGCTGGGAGAGATTTGTTGACGCAAAGCAAGTCGGCAAGGAGGCTGGTCGGCAACAGCTTGGTACCTCAACCGCCTCAACCATTGCTTGGCGACGGCATACCTATCACAATCAACACCTGTGTTAAAGGGTCTACCTAAATCCATGTAAGAACAGTGCTCGCACCTATTTATGGTTGGGACTGTCGCTCAGCTGCATCTACCCGCGTTTGGACTATGGCTAAAAAAAGATGAAAGCAGTCCGGGGAAAAAAAAAAGAAAAAGAAAAATAAACAGAAGGGGGAAAGGGCTTGCAACATAGGGGGGGCTTGTCGAGATTTAGGGCCCGTTTGGGTATCCCCTTGGAACGGCAGCACAGGGGCGATATTGTTGAAGACCGCCAAACATGATCATTTGAGGGTGGATAACACTTGCCCTGGAACTATCACAATGTCAATATTCACTTTTTGTTTGCTACAAGCTCGGATGGTCCATCCCTTACTGAAGGTGTTGCTCGGTGTGTGGTGCGTTAGTGTCTGTGCTTAGCGGACATGGTACGGAAATTGAGTGTAGCAATCAAATAGAATTAGCTGCCGGTATCAGCACACACACATATACCGACCCTCTAAAATTGCATGAGGAGCAATATGTGTGCTATAAATACAGGTTGGTCATGACCAACAGCTACCCACGTTGAAAGCATATTGAAACTATGTCAAGGACAATCCAACACGTGGTGTCCTCGGACTGGGAAATCGTTGGTTCCTTAAGGGAAGAAAATAGAGAACTCTGATGTCCCACAATTCACTGAATTCCAGGTGCGCAACGTGGACGGATCCAACCTAGAAAGGGCAATTCAGTCTCAAATGGCTGGTGAGCATCTTGCAAATCTCAGGCCAGCTGAGGCTGCGAATCTGCGACTATTAAAGGATATTTTTCGTTCCCATGGTCGCGGTCATGAACCCGACAACAGGGTTCCCCAACCACGGAAAGTCCCTCAATGAGTCCTGAGGGTGTATGTTGAGGATCTTGTGGGGTTGATATAAAGGAAAAGCAAACTGGAAAAGCAAACTGGAAACTGTCCGTTTTCAGATCTCCTAAACGTTTCACTGTTCGTGGGTTTCCACTCCTAAAAGTCTAACTGTTGGGATGGAAACCCAGGCGAGTTAAGCCAAAGAACCTAAAGACCTAAGGAACCGGATGCCTAACCGCGCCAAAAAATGAAGAGACCATGGTGGAGGCCCCCGGTTTTTAAGACGAAGCCAGTGAGAAGAAAGGTTGCAAACCCCTCCATGGATCACCAACCCTGACACCCTGACGCCTGCATGTGCCATCTGCTGCTTCTTTGCCTTTTTCTTGTTTTGCGAGTTTGTTTTTGAAGTAACCGCATTCTAGAATATTTAATGATATCTATACAGTATGTAGGTGCGTATGGTGTGTATATATGTCACAGGTTGTTTCCAAGTGACCCACCACCATTCAGTCGCTAGAACGCAAAGAAGAGAACACCCACTCCGCCCCGCAGTACAACAAGCAAAAGCTCGCAAGCCGTGAATGCCAGCTGCTTGCCACTTAGGGTGATAAGACATACCTGCTGCAGAAAATTTGCATCCAAAGGCAAGCAATAGCCCTGCCCACTAACTACGAATGGCATGTGGAAAATAATGATTTTCGCGATACCAGCGTCGGCGTGGACCATCCTCAACCAGAAATCGGCCTCTGGAACACTCGGGCACTGGTGTTCGCCAATGAGGACCTGGCGCGGTTGGCATGCTGGGCCTTGCAAACGGCTGGTTTGGTTGCCGCTGCATGTCACACTCCCGCTTCAGCAACGCAATCGCCCGGAAATCGCAGTCATGTCCAGCATGTGTCTGCCGCCCTCGTCCTTGCCTTCTTACCAAGAAACAACAACTGAGCCCACCGTGCCATAAAAATGGGTCTGCTTTCTAAGTTGCAGTTTGACAGCACGTTCACACTGTAGCCTTGTCAGTTTTGGGAAAGAGGTTACAGCAACCGCCCCCAACATCCCAACCTGGGTGCCCTCGTGGTGATGGAGGAGGCAGGCACCGAGATGACCGGGGGCGAACTCTTGCGGACTCGCCTGAGCCGGTCTGACGGCGGTCCGCAGCTTTGCAATATGTCCAAAAACTGAAACAAGCAACCAAGCACAGGACCTACACCGCAGGTGGAACCCCATCCAGATGGTTGGCTCTTTTTGGCTTCTCGTCCAGCAAACCCAAAGTGGAGCATGTCGTTTTCTGCCGGTGCCAGGCTTGCGGTGGGTTTTGGGGTCCGTCACATGAGATGTCACACGAGGACACAGAACTTCGTAGACCCCCCCCCTCCGAGCCCCCCTTGCTCCGAGCAGCACCTTCACAGAACCCGCTATCTCAGGGTTCGTCGAGCCAACTTTGTGCAAGGCTTGCCAGGTTGAGGTGCAGCTCAGAAATCGAAGGTTTCGGGGGAGCAACCGATCTGGACCCTGTTCCTTTCGGACCGCTCTGCATCTGGGTGAGTTAATCTTATTTCACCCACCTTAAAATTTGGTGGTTGGGGGAAGAGCTTTCCACATAAACCACCATTTCCCCAACCAGCTCCCCAACCATTTCAGGTGAATTCGGTCGTGTGAGGTCGCTACAAATTCACCTAGAAACCGCTTACACCTTAGAGCCCTTCGCCTCTCAGCCAGGCTGAGCCTTCGCTATGGGCGTCTTCCGGGAACTGGATCGTGCCTCACCTTTCTTGTGCCGCGGTCTGACGGGCACGGGGGCTTATGCAACATCCCCTCAGCTTGGTTGACGTTGGAAGGGGGGCAAAAATCTAATTTTTAGCAGTTGAGTGGTTGGATTTCCACCACTAAACCACAAAAAGCAAAAATGTAACATGTTTCCCAACAATGACCATGATGAACATTGGACTGGCCCTATTGCTTCAGCCCGTTGCTAGGTCAGCAGACAAACTGTTTCCAATCTACTGGCACATAGCGCCACTATGCGCAAGCCATGAACCTTCCCCGTCAATCCCTGCTATGGTGTAACCGCAAATTATTCTCTACAGCCCCCCATTAAAACTAAAAAACAAAAAACCAACAAGGCACAACAACATATTTCAATCAACATAAACCAACAATTTATTGCTACCTGGACCCTCACCTGGCCTGCATTTAACAAGCTTACGGTCTTACAAGCATGATTTGTGCAAAGAACATCTGCACATGTTCGTGTAAAATCAAGGTAACAATGATGAATAAGTCGTAATGAGCAGGCGTTGATGTTCGTGTAAAATCACGGTAGCAAGGCTGCAAAAGTCGTAAGGAGCATGTAATGATATTTGTGCACAACTGGTGCAAATGATAAATATGCGCTGATGTTCATGTAAATTTGCAGAGACAAAACATCAGTAATATGTGACAGTGTTTGTGAAATCATGGGAAAACAACGGGTTCATGCTCATTTTGAGCCAATGTACCTTGCTTCTACAAGTTGTCAAACAAACGTGGTGATGTGAGTTTGTTTGTGGTGCTCAGGGGAAGCCTGTGGTGGACAGGGGGCAACACCTTGTGCACAGGCTGGCGGAAGTCAAACTCAGCTACAGCGCCTGTCTCGTCGTCCAAGCCAGTTCTTCCTAGACAGGCGTCAGCGATCTCATGGCAGGTTTGCCAGCGCCTCTCTCCTCCTTTACCAAGGTGAGCACGGTCCTCCTCCCTGCAGGCAGACAGGCGCCAGCGATCTCAACGCAACGCGAAGCTAAGGCTGGCCAAGCTTCGACTTGCTTAGCCCTGTTACCCTGATTTTTCAGGTGACAGTTACAGTTTCATCAGTTCGTTTGCTCGTGACTTGTTCAGCATAGCTACCCCTTAGTAGGCCCCTTAGCTGAAAGAATTCTCCTGTGCATCGGCTGGCAGTGATGTAGCGCATAACCAGGGGATCGTCCGCCCTCGACAATCAGCTGCAACAGGACGGAACACTTTAACGGACAGGCTGGGCTACAAACTGCTGGACTCTCGGCTCAGCAGGCTCAGGCGGACGCGGCTCTGAATGCTGCCAGAAGCTTCAGGGCCAAGGGACGTGAGCCTGCAGCAGACGGGCCCGCAGACAGGCGATGGCTGCAAGGCAGTCGATGAGGGCCTCAGTGTCAGAACAGACTTCATCACAAAAAGACTCAATCACAACCATCATGTCGATCTCTCGCCATGCAAGAGTACCTCTGCCGGCGCTGATCTCAACTCCGCCAGGAAGGCCGTTGAATGCTCGGAGTCAGCACTCGCACCGCTTTGTTGCAGACGCACGCAAGGATTTCTGCAAAGGGGGCACGTGCACGCACGCTGACCTCGCTGCGCTTGCCACCACCACAGAGCAGACCACCGCGCGGTGAAAGCCCTTGCTGCAGCTCAGACAAACGCACTGCGGCCGCTCAGCAGCCGTTTAATAATCATCCGTCAATCCATCAAGGCTGGGAGGAGCAGCGTGCTCAGCAGCAGGTCCGCGAAGCCCGTGGCCGGCCACCTGCCGAGCTTCAGCGCCACAAGGTCAAATGAGAGCTCAAGCCCTTATTATAGGACCAGTGCGTGATTACATGAACATGTGACTTGCTATGGTGTCATCATCATCGGTGTCGCCTGGCGCTGCGTCTCCGCAAAAAGGCCCCGCGGCGACGAGCGTGCCACGTATCGGGGTCGCTCAGGCGGGAGCGCGCGTCGTGGATGACACTTTGATCGCCTGAGTCAACGAGTCAACCCTGCAGGTGTGAGGGGCTCTTAAGTCCACTGCTGAAGCACTGCCAGTGTAAACTTGGCGCCGAGCTCGTGTGACGGCCGCGTGTAAACTCCGTGACGGCCGCGGCCGGGTAGTCCTGTGTGTTGTTCCACCTGAGTCTCAGCCGTGTGGCTTTAGATGATTGTAAAGCGCAAAATATTTGACATGGCCAGAGCCTTCAAAGCGCTGATTGGCCCAGAAGTTGCGGCCCCATGCACGGTGATCCTTTCAGTCGGCCAACTTGCAAAAATCACGGCTAGGGCCTTCTAGCTTGTGCGCAGAGTGCAGTGCAGACAGGCGCTATCGGGCAGGTGCAAAGCTGAGGCTGCTGCAGTATTTCAGAGTATCAAGTCAGTTAAGCTGAGTGTCGGCGAGCGTGGCGATAGCAAAGGCTGTGGTAAACGTGATCTGTGCGGCCACATGCTGCGTGGGGCGAATGGCGTCTCTGGCGACTTGCCGCACAGTATGCAGAACGCTGCCATGGCAGCAGTGCGCGGGCAGAAAACTGCAGTAGCCGCGATTCTTGTGGTGCATAGGGGGAATCTGTGGTAGGAGAATTCTCATGGGAAGAGGGAAAGCTGCAGTATACAGGGGCAATTATTGTCTTGCAAAGCAGAAAGCTGCAGTAAATCTGCGGAATTCTTGTGGTGCAAAACGGGAAAACTGCAGTAGACTGGTGCAAAGAACAAACAAAGCCTGCTGTATACAAGGGCAATTCTTGTGGTGCAAAGGGGGAAAGGGGGAAACTGCTGACTGCTGTACACAGGAAGAACTCTTGTGGCGCAAATGGGGAGAACTAGACGATTTTTTGGTGGTGCAAAGGGGGGAAGTATGCGTGGGAAATTCTTGTGGTGCAAAAAGGAGGAAAACTGCAGCAGACACGCGGGATTCTTTTGGTGCAAAGGGAGAAATCTGCAGTATACAAGGTTCTTGTGGCGCAAAGGGGGAAACTGCGGTATGCGGCGTTGGAAATACTTGTGTCAAGGTGGCAAAGGGGGAGCGTACTGGGGAAAATTGCGGTGCACAGGTGGGATTCTTGTAGTGCAAAGGAGTAAACTGTGATGCGCAGGAAAATTCTTTCAGCTAAGGGGTAGCCATGCTGAACAAGTCATGAGCAAACGAACTGACAAAACAGTCACCTGAAAAATCAGGGTAACAGGGCTAAGCAAGTCGAAGCTTGGCCAGCCTTAGCTTCGCGTTGCGTTGAGATCGCTGGCGCCTGTCTGCCTGCAGGGAGGAGGACCGTGCTCACCTTGGTAAAGGAGGAGGGAGGCGCTGGCAAACCTGCCATGAGATCGCTGACGCCTGTCTAGGAAGAACTGGCTTGGACGACGAGACAGGCGCTGTAGCTGAGTTTGACTTCCGCCAGCCTGTGCACAAGGTGTTGCCCCCTGTCCACCACAGGCTTCCCCTGAGCACCACAAACAAACTCACATCACCACGTTTGTTTGACAACTTGTAGAAGCAAGGTACATTGGCTCAAAATGAGCATGAACCCGTTGTTTTCCCATGATTTCACAAACACTGTCACATATTACTGATGTTTTGTCTCTGCAAATTTACATGAACATCAGCGCATGTTCATCATGTTCACCAGTTGTACACAAACATCAATACATGATCCTATGACTTTTACAGCCTTGCTACCGTGATTTTACACGAACATCAACGCCTGCTCATTACGACTTATTCATCATTGTTACCTTGACTTTACACAAACATTTGCAGATGTTCTTTGCAAACAACATGCTTGTAAGACCGTAAGCTTCTTAAATGCAGGCCAGTCACACTACCCATAAAACGAGGGGAATTCGCCCAACCTCATTTTTGGGGTGCAATTCACCCCGTGAAGTTGGAATGTTGACTGCAAAAAGTTGGGACCTCTTTCACGTTCAACTCCAAGGCCCCAGCTGAAAGTGTAGCGCCGCAAAGATCCTGGCATGGATCTGGGCAAATGGTTCCTTGCCCATAGGTGTGTCCTCTTTAAAGGGTCAAGGGAAAGCAAACAACAAACTAGTCATATTTGGGGTCCCTCTATTTTGATACACACCCTAACAGGTAAAGCCAACCTTGGCATGGCAAAAAGTTAAAGAGCCAGGGCAAAGCGCAGAATTCCGTCCTTGGTTCCAATTAAGGTGAAAAACGTCGGCTTGCATTTTGTTGAGCAGCCGCCTACTCGCATTGGAACCAAGGGCTTGGGGTTCTCCTCAACTTCCTTTGAGCCACACATGTCGAACCAAGTTAGCTAACATGCCCTCTGGCATCACCGTGATCCCAGGAAAAGTAGGGGTCTGCCGAGCCCGGCGCCAGCACCCAACCTCAATCTGCAGGTGTGCCATCCTTGTTTAGGGTGGAAGGTTGGCCTCCCCGGATTTGTCTGGGATCCATCAAGCTCCATCCACTTAAAAGCTGCCCTGCATGCGAAATGGAATATGATAGGACTGCTTTGCAGGTAAACTCGTCTTCCAGGGCTGAATGGCAAGTTCCACGGTGCGCGTAAGTCTTCTGAACAGGATGCAAGTGCCATCTTCATGAGTCTAGGACCACCAAACGCCCTGGCGGACCAAAGGTATGCAGCATGCATCAAGTAGGATACATGCTCTCTATGACGCAAACAGTTGCTCGGATCCAATTCGGTGTTGAGCATATTGCTTCCCCCCATCTTGCATTCACAGAATTTCCCGGAGATCGTCCTGAGCGCCGGGAAAAACCTGCGCTGAAAGATCAGGCTTATCACGGCCCCAACCCAGACCTCCAGTGGCCATTACAAAACCATCTTCTGAAGAAAACTGAAAAACGAAACAAACAACGCATACATGCATACCATGCCCGTACAGACTCCTGGTAGCTCCTAGCGAACTTGGATACCCTCAGCTCCCTAGCTTTCTATCGGCTCCCTTGCAAGCCAAGCCCAACTGGCAGCAAGTGGCTGCCTTTCCGCTGCCCTCCCGTGCGGCCGACCGACGAATGGAGCGAGCGCATCGCGCCTCACCACGGCGTCCTTGTCCTCCTCGGCGTCGAAGGCGACGCAGCAGCGGCTGCCCTCCGAAAACTCCGCGCCTGGAGGCGAGCTCGCGCGGGCGTTCGAACTCGCAGGAACTGGCGCTGAACGGAGGAAAGCGAACTCGGAGAGTCGAGAATTCAACAGCTGGAACGAAGAATGCGTGGAATCTAACAGGGCTGCTACTCATTTTATCGCCAGTTGGACAGGGATCCCTGCATTTCCTCTTAAGGACCTTCAAGAGTGTTGTAAAATGTCAGTCGAGTCGAAACCACCAGTGAATTGACTAACCTTTGATTTGGGGAATCCAGTGACCCCCGTTTCAGGTGTCCTCCCGTGAGTCGCTACCCCCGGGCCGCAAAACACGCCCCGCGCCTGTACAACACAGGCCATGAGGGAAGATCTGCGTGGAGAAGTGCCGGTAGTTGGTGGTGACCTGACGCATGTTTCCGTCAACGTGTCTTTCGGAGGGTTGATTGGGATGTGGGAGAATGGAAGGTTTGTTCTGGGATACGGGATATGGGATATGGGGATATGGGGATATGTTGGAGGGTTGGTCTCTGTCTTGTGGAGGGTACGCTTTGTTGGGTTGATGGCAGTGGAAACCAAAGGCAGCCCACCCATTTTAGGGGGTTCGCCCACTTTGACGCATAAATCGCTGCCAAATGCTACCAGGAACAATCCATACAAACCCTGCCGAGCACTTGGGACATGACGTGGTGTCAACACCGCACCTCACCGGGTGTCTCTGCAGAGACTGGGCAGTTGGCTCCCGCGAAGGCAAAGGCGAACAAACAGCTCGAGGCGCATATATACTCAAAAGAAGTCTGCCACAAGCATGTTCCTCGACAAACGTTTTTTGGGGTCAAGGAGATCATGCTCGCCGGTGTTGCTCAATCTCGCAAGTTTTTCCGCAAGCCTGCGAGCACAAAAACAGTGCTTTGACCGGAGGCTTAACCCTCCAGCAGCCAGGGTGACATCCGCTGAATGCGGGCCATAGAGCAAGAACTGCAACGGCGACTGCGTGACAGGGACCACTTCTTTTTGGCTGGCAAAGCAAAGCCGAACCTTTGAGAAAGCTTGTCTAAATGAGTGAGGAAAGAGCACTGACTTTGCTTCAAACGGGAGGAAACACATTCCTGCATCCCCGCTCAACCTTGCCGACCAGATACTCTAAGCAATAGCCAAGGATGGGCAAAACGTAGGGGGGCGGAATGGAAACATCACGCAGGCAAATGGTTCAAACCCCAAATTAGCTTGTCTGCATCGAGAACGCGACAATGTTTTTGCCAACCTCTGTCTCAATCGTTTTTATTCTTGCCACAGAGATTTCAACGCTGACAGTTGCATGCGGTTCTATCCCAGCAACGATGGGAGTCCCAATCCATGATTCTATCTCAGGCCGAGCGTGTCAGCAACTTCATTCCCAGCGGCTCAATCTGTGCAGTAGTTTCACACATGTGCTTTGGAACGGGCCGTTGGATTCAAGCGTGCGGGTCACTTTGGCTTGCGATCGGTACAAACAGAACCCAGCCCTCAGAAAGTCGATTCGCACATCGGTGCATCTGGGCCTGGTTGCTACCCCCGCGTTTGGTCTGTGCAGGGAAATCAAAAGGGAAAAAGAAACCATTTTTGTGGGGTTCCTTGGAAAAGGAAACGCCTCCTTATCTGAAACGAGTCCGAGTCCAAACGAGATGAATCGAGTCCCGGGCAGAGTTGTTGTTGAGAGGCAACCAGGCAGTCGACTGCCTGCCCGTCCGTGCAAGTAGGGGCCCGCAACCCCACTTCCTTTTGCTTCTGGTGCCCACATCGCTTTCATTGGCAAGCTACAGTACCACTTGGGAACATGTGCACCCTCTCAAGAAAGCCGAACCATTTTTAACTGGCCTTCCTTGCAGATCACGAGTCGCAAGCTTCAACTCCCACGGAGGAAATACACGCTTGAAGCCTCCAAAGAGGAACATGTTGACCCTGGTTGACAGACATGTTTTCCAACCAGTGCTTCACTTCCTATAGGTTTGCCAAATTTGTGCCTTGAGTCATTGCTGAACCTGCCCTAGTGCATGTGCGCACCTGCCCGAAATTCACATCCGTTGTCTCACGGAAAATCGACCAACAAGAGGTCTGTACCTGTGTAGTCTCCATGCCCCTTTAGAAATGGGGTCATGACCCCTTTTTATTTTGGGTACTGACCCCATTTTCCAAGGGCAATGGAGAGTCCAGGTAGATGAAATGTGAAAACCACGTTTTCGGTATGTCCGTTCAGTCCCATCCTCATTCCCATCCTCATCTCTCTCACAACTCACATCCGCTTCCAAGCCTTGCATCAACCATCATCAACCGATCGGTGAGAGGGCGAAGGACTTTGCATGCCGAAAGCATCTGGCCATGGAAGCTGTCGAAAGCCCTGTGCAACAATGAGGGCACAACAAAAAAATTATCTACCAATACAACAACATCTAGGTTTTAATCTAAAACAAAACAAGATCCGTGCCGCATGTGGACTTCTGAGCAAATCGCTCACCCTCTTCACCTAGACAAGCGCTGGCGGGAATCCAACCAGATGTTCTGCACGTGCCAAACTTGACTCCTTGAATGTCTGGTGGAAACCCCATCCATACTAGTAGTTCACTATTGACAAAACAAGGTTGCCGCCACCTGACTTGGCAAAACTGCCTTCCTGGAATGTGGCCCGTCAGCGGCAAATCTAGATTGCTCTTTAAGCGAAGCCAGTGGGCAAGTCAGAACTGACAATCCACAATCCGGCGTCAAGTTTCCTTGCTGGTTCTCAGCATGGAATGAGTCAAATGAGGGAATGACCCTTACAAACCATTTCCTCTGGCTTCCTTTTGAGGGCATGCCCTTCCGGTTTCCCAAAAACCCAGACTCGTTGTCATTCCCTTATCGCACCGAGCTTCAAATGCTCAGAGGCTGAAGGGCGTATGCCATGTTTCTGCCTTGACCCTGGTTGCGCTCCACTTCTGCGGCCCTGGTAGATGGAAAGGGCCACCTGCTGTCCAAGTCCTTGAACTTTGACCCATACCCAAAGTCACTTGCTCAAGATCCGGTCTTAAAATGGTTGACCCAGAACCATGCTTCAAGAATTAAGAAGGCGGATATCCGCAGCTATTTGTATGGCTGGGATTGTCCCTTACTAACCTTTATTTACCCGGGTGTTGATTATGGCTCAAATAAAGGACCAACACCTGCTGTCCAATTCCTGATTGCACTTTCACCCATACCCAAAATGGGATATGCCTTGCCCTAGCGGGGGAATGACCACCCTTTGATAGGTGTGGGTCAATATTAAATCACCAAACAAAACAGATTTTAGTTCATGTTTCCATTTACCAGGGTTCCAGGGTTCCTTTTGGGTACATATTTTTGACCCACAGCCACATTCAAACGTCTTCACCTTCCCCCTGCCTCCGCGCCCACAACGTGCCATCTGCTGGGATCTGCAGCGCCACCCGGGCACCCGCGGGCGCCTGATCTGAGATCTGAGAGTCTTTCTCACGGGGAATCAGCCAATCTGAGCAGGGATCCTTACATGGTTGACGATGGAAGGGGAGCAAAAACATAAAATTTAGCAGGTAAGTGGGGATTTCCCACCAAATCACAATAAGCAAAAATGTAAAATGTCTCCCAACAACAACCATGCTTACATTATACACCTGAACATTGCAACTTGTAAATGGTGGTTATCAGTTCTTTATTTTGGTGGAAAAAGCAACATGTTTCAAATGGTTGCAACATGTATCTTTTAAGGAGCGCTGCTGAGGCAAGAGGCTTTGACCCGCGACATCCTCTTCTGCCTCCATTTGCACTGGGCTGTCCGTTTTCAGATCCCCTGCTATAAGTTGAACTTGTGGGTTAAATGGAAACCCCACTAAACACTAAAAAGCCAGAATTCCATTGGGATGGCTGGGAACCACCAAGTTAAGTCCCCTGGAACAAATACAGTATCTCTAGTATCGATCTAGATTCCAAAAAAAAGAAAAGAAAAGACACTGATTCTTCAATTAAATGGCAGAATTCCATGGATCTACACTGACCCTTGGCGTCGACCAGAAATCCGCGTTCCGAAGAAATCCGCTGCCTGCTCCCCCACGGGCTCCCAGGGCAGTAGCCAAACGGTGCCGTGCCAGGGCTGCAGCGCTGTATCCTGCGATGTGACATCCTGCGATTTCCACCCAGCGATTTCTACCCAGCCTGGAAACCCATTGCCCCACAAAAAATCGGAACCTGTTGGAGCCTCTGAAGCGTCGCTTTGTTGGTTAAACCCGTTGCCCCAGCAGGAGAATTTGGGCGAAGCCTTCCAAGAAGGGTATGTCGGGAATGTGGTGATCCCATTGCACTTTTTCTGGGGAATGTTTGGGAACCCTAAAAACCAGGCACAAAAATGGCACGACCTCCCTTCACTGGCCGCAAGCTGAGGGAGAAAGAGTTGGATTTGTTGTTGAGAGAGGGGTTTGATGGACGAGTTTCGACCATGCCTGAAAAGAGTGGGGAAGGTACAGATCAAATTCTACTGCCCACCTGCCACGTCTTTGATTTTTGAAGCCTCTATGGAGGTCCGGTGGCGAATTTCTTCCGCTGGAAATGCTCCAAATGGACGTGAAACCGATCTATTTTAGCGGAAGCTCGTCTGTAATCGGGGCCCGGCGCCGATGGTGGGTGGTCCGCTCTGTACCCTTTTTGGCATTCTCGTTTGCGGCAATTGCTGGACGTGGAAACTGCGCAAACACTCTTAACCTCGGGTCTGGGGCAAGCCTGTGGGTTGGAAGTGATGCCGGGTTGGGATCGAGGTTCAATCCTGACCTTTTGGTTGCCAACCCAAAGGAAGCTCTAAGACCAAGACTTGTCCTTTTGTGGGTGGACCAAAATGAAACTGAGGAAAAAACAAGCATTTTGGGGTTCCATGTATTTGGAGGCATCCTGGCTTGCGCGAAAGGCCGGAATAGCAATCCCTGACACCCAACGCCCGGGACTCATGACCAATCCCGTATTCATGCCCTGCATGTCAAGGTCATTTGAGACGACCGAGGTAAACTCTTGACATCTCCCAACTGAAAGATGGAAAGCTGAAGATTTCAACAGACCTCACGCCCTTAAAACAATCTAGGGACACCTTTCAGAAAAAGGACTGCGGCGGAATCTCTTGAAGTAATCTGAGAAGGACCCAAGCTTTGCATTATATGGCCATGGGTCAAAACCCCGTACCCGTGAACATCCCAATCCCCACTATAAAACGACTACGGTGGTTGGTGTACCTACCAACCAAAATGGGATCCCTTTGGTTAAGCCACACACGGAACATCCCTCTGCCCCTTTGCTCCTCCCCAGTGGCTGTGGGGCTCACGACATCAGAGGCCACCTCCACCTGGCCACTTCGACAGGGAGCTCATCTTCGGCCAGGTGGCGAGATCTGAACAAAAGTCCGTTTGTTGTCTAGGTCCAGGGAGAGGTTAGAATCAGGGAGAGGTTAGAATCAGGGTACCCGATTTCTTTTTTATGTGTTTTAATTGGAGTCTAGTTTAGTAGGGGAATTCTCCCCCCAAAAAAGAAACGGTAAAAGGGCACTACTGGGGGACCTAGTTGTGCGGGATCGCGCCAGGAAAAAAGAAACGCCTGTCACGGAGATCCTTCTGTGATCCATGCGGAGCCAAACATATCTCCGTTGCTGTCTGCTCCTGAGAGCTTAACTTTTAGTGGTTTAATGGAAAACCCATGAAAACCCCTTAGTTGGCAAAAAGTCAAAGTTCTAACATCCAAGCAACATGCACCAAAGAATTCAGGCTTATTCCACACATCGCGTCAAAAGCCAGGCCTCTTGCACTTGGCCAAGGTTAAACCATAAATTTTGTGAACCTAGGATGTACTCCTTGTTTTCGTTAAACAACTGGGACCCCCCCTCCCCCCAGACAAACAACAAGGGCAACAACCACAAAAATCACAGGAATCTCCCATTTACCGCGAGAGACATGGCAGAGCATCCCCAAGCCGCCGGAAAAAAGTGCCTTCCTTCCACCCCTCCACCCCTCCACCCCTCCACCCCTCCACCCCTCCACCCAGTCGCTCGTGACGCCTTTGGCACCACCGGCACCAGGCCGAGACCCATCTCCGGCTCCGGCTCCTTGCAGGCTGCAAGCGACGTGCAAACTCGACTTCTGATCCAGCTTGGTCGCTGCTGTTGACCCCCCTGCAAAAACAGGGATCCTTACAATAGAAACACCTGAACAGTGCAACTTGTCAATGGTGGTGTCCCTTGATTTTTGTGGAAAAAGCAACATGGTTGCAAACTGTATCTTTTAAGGAGCCCTGCATTTGTTTTAAACTTTTTCGGGGGGTTAGTGGAAAACCCAGCTTGATTTCAACAAAAACGCTAAGGTCTAAAGATCCAACCCAATAGCAGTCAAGATAGATGGCCCCCCAAAAAAGAAGCTCTCCAGACTGTTGACCACCAACACGGGTCTTCCCCAAAAAATGACTCGAGTCCATGACTCAGGGGGTGAGACCAGGAATTCCAGGCCCTGCTACAGCAGTTGTGGCGTCAGAAGGCATGAGCCTGGTACAAGAGCCTGGCCAAATTTGCGAGTCTGGGAGAGTAGCATACCAGGACCCTTGGTGGGATTGCGTGAAAACGCCCTGATCTCCCCCCCCCCACTTCCAATGAATAGTACGTTCTCCCCGGTAAGGTCCTCATTGTATGGTGTCTCATTTGGGCCTCAGGAATTCATATGGAAGCTTGGTGTTTTGCGAGCTTTACGTGGAAGCCCTTTCAGGAACATGGGCTCAAGCCGTCTACAATCTGAAGACCCACAGGCAGGGGAGCAACAAAAATAAAATAACTATATTCAGACAAAAAAACAAAACTAAACAAAACAAGAAAGGCGACCTATGAGTCATAATCAAAACCCGGTATTAAGATGGTCTACCCAGAACCATGTAAAGAATTAAGAAGGCGGATATCCGCAGCTATTTATGGTTGGCATTGTCCCTTACTAACCTTCATCTACCCGAATCGGTTTTCATCGTGGCTCATATTTGCTCTGACTGCTTGAGAACCTCCAGCTTGCGGCGGCTGCCTTGAGTCTGCCATGGCTATCTGACTCCTTCCGTTGAATGGGCATGTGGCGAACATAGTTCAAGTATCCATCCCCTTGTTGCTTCGGAAAGCAGTTAGGGAAATCCGGGTATGTAGCTTTAAATTCGGGGTACTTTATTGGGTTGTGGCTAAAAAACGAAGGCAAGACCACTATGTTCTCACTGAGTGCAAACTGTTCGTTCCCGTTAACAATTGTTTGCCGAAACAGCATAAACCCACGGGCATTCGACAAACCGTGTACTGTGGCTGACCCTAGCTCGGTTCTAAGTGGATGTTAGGATAGTACCTTGCTGCAAACTGGAGCCCACTTCGTCTCTTATCTTTTCTAGGGGGAAACCCTCAAAATGGCTTCGGCTTTCCATTTTGATCTTACTTTGCATATCTGAATTGGGTCTGCCCCCGCACTGACTTCGACTCCCAAAATGGCTTCGGCTTTCCCTTTGATTTTACTTTGCATATCTTTTCCGGGTCTGCCCCACAACTGATTTCGACTCCCAAAATGGCCACGGCTTTGCTTTTCGATCTTGCTTTGCATATCTTTTTTGGGTCTGCCCCCAAACTGACTTCGACTCCCAAAATGGCTTCGGCTTTCCCTTTGATCTTACTTTGCATATCTTGTTTGGGTGTGCCCCCCAAACTGACTTCGACTCCCAAAATGGCTTCGGCTTTCCCTTTGATCTTACTTTGCATATCTTGTTTGGGTCTGCCCCACAACTGACTTTGACTCCCAAAATGGCTTCGGCTTTCCCTTTGATCTTACTTTGCATATCTTTTTTGGGTCTGCCCCCAAACTGACCACTCCCACCCAACATGGCTTCGGCTTTCCCTTTGATCTTACTTTGCAAATCTTTTCCGGGACTGCCCTCAAACTCACTTCGACGCGCAAAATGGCTTCGGCTTTCCTGTTCATCTTACTTTGCACATCTTTTCCGGGTCTGCCCCCAAACTGACTTCGACTCGCAACATGGCTTCGGCTTTCCCTTTGATCTTACTTTGCATATCTTTTTGGGGTCTGCCCCCTCACTCACTTCGACTCCCAAAATGGCTTCGGCTTTCCCTTTGATCTTACTTTGCATATCTTGTTTGGGTCTGCCCCACAACTGACTTTGACTCCCAAAATGGCTTCGGCTTTCCCTTTGATCTTACTTTGCATATCTTTTTTGGGTCTGCCCCCAAACTCACTTCGACTCCCAAAATGGCTTCGGCTTTCCCTTTTGATCTTACTTTGCAGATCTTTTTTGGGTCTGCCCCCTCACTCACTTCGACTCTCAAAATGGCTTCGGCTTTCCCTTTGATCTTCCTTTGCAAATCTTTTTGGGGTCTGCCCCCAAACTCACTTCGACTCCCAGAATGGCTTCGGCTTTCCCTTTGATCTCACTTTGTTTGATCTTCCTTTGCAAATCTTTTTTGGGTCTGCCCCCAAACTGACTTCGACTCCCAAAATGGCTTCGGCTTTTCCTTTGATCTTACTTTGCAGATCTTTTTTGGGTCTGCCCCCTCACTCACTTCGACTCCCAAAATGGCTTCGGCTTTGCAAATCTTTTTTGGGTCTGCCCCCAAACTGACTTCGACTCCCAAAATGGCTTCCCTTTGATCTTACTTTGCAAATCTTTTTTGGGTCTGCCCCCAAACTGACTTCGACTCCCAAAATGGTTTCGGCTTTCCCATTGATGTTACTTTGCAAATATTTGTTGGGTCTGTCCCCAAACTGACTTCGACTCCCAAAATGGCTTCGGCTTTCCCTTTGATCTTACTTTGCATATCTTTTTTGGGTCTGCCCCCAAACTCACTTCGACTCCCAAAATGGCTTCGGCTTTCCCTTTGATCTTACTTTGCAAATCTTTTTTGGGTCTGCCCCCAAAATGACGTTGACTCCCAAATCCCAAAATGGCTTCGGCTTTCCCTTTGATCTTACTTTGCATATCTTTTTTGGGTCTGCCCCCAAACTGACTTTGACTCCCAAAATGGCTTCGGCTTTCCCTTTGATCTTACTTTGCATATCTTTTTTGGGTCTGCCCCCAAACTCACTTCGACTCCCAAAATGGCTTCGGCTTTCCCTTTGATCTTACTTTGCAAATCTTTTTTGGGTCTGCCCCCAAAATGACTTGACTCCCTCCCAAAATGGCTTCGGCTTTCCCTTTGATCTTACTTTGCATATCTTTTTTGGGTCTGCCCCCAAACTCACTTCGACTCCCAAAATGGCTTCGGCTTTCCCTTTGATCTTACTTTGCAAATCTTTTTTGGGTCTGCCCCCAAACTGACTTCGACTCCCAAAATGGCTTCGGCTTTCCCTTTGATCTTACTTTGCATATCTTTTTTGGGTCTGCCCCCAAACTGACTTTGACTCCCAAAATGGCTGCGGCTTTGCTTTTGATCTTATTTTGCATATCTTTTCTGGGTCTTCTTTTCAAACTGGTTTCGGCATTTATTATTATTACTACTACTATTACTATTATTATCATTATTGTTGTTATTATTGTTATTACTATTGGAATTATCATTATCATTATGATCGTTATTGTTATACTATTATGATTACTTCTATTTTATCCTTTCAACCCACCAGACCACAGGTACCAACACCAGCCAGCCACCCGCTCGGCCCCGGCCTGCAGGCGGCTCTGCTGGCGCCACCAGGTGAGGCCCCAGAGCAGCGATGCCACCGGCTGCATCTGAGCCGAAGGAAATGGCTCAGCCCCTCGGTTTGGTTTGGTTTGGAGAGGTTTGGGGTGGTCTCTGGGGTTTTGGTGGCTTGTTTGGGGGCGGTTTCGGGTTTTGGGTTGGTCTATGGGGTTTTGGTGGCTTATTTGGGGGTGGTTTCGGGTTTTGGGTTGGTCTATGAGGTTGTGGCGGCTTATTTGGGGGTGGTTTGTCTTGGGTTTTGGGGTGTGTTTTTTTGGTTTTGGGTGTGGTTTGGAGCTGGGTGGACCTTTGGAAATAGAAACAGATGGGTCTCTCTGGTAAATTGCATAAAGCCCATCTAAACGAGTGGAAACCATCTATTTCTAAGCAAACTATTCGATCAAGAGGACACCTATAGGCTCAAACTCAAACTGGTGCAAACTGCTGGTTTTAGTCTTTGTGCCCATATACAGGTGCCATGTTGGTTCAACTTCACACCAATCCAAAACCACCAACTTGGGGTTACCCAAACAAATCCCATGGAAAGGACATGGAACAAGCACAACAAGTGAGGCCCCTGTTCGCTGCTGATTGGAACAAATTGTGAAGCCTTGTTGTTTGTTGGACAAAATCGTGGGCCCGCTGTTGTTTGTTGAAGTGGTCCGTTGATTGAAAACTACTGAGTCCAACGTGTGCGGAAAACTAACTGTCCCCTGGGACATATGGCCTTTCCGATGATTGTGTTGTATGCATTTTTCTTCAAAACAAATCGCGAGCGCCCCGGTCTTTTGTAAAACATGACACAAAACTCGAGCCCTGTTTTTGTTGGATAATTCTAGTGTGTCCCCACGTCCAATTGCACAACAGACGACATACTGGATATGTTCACCGCATACCAAGCCTTTCCCCATGCGCTCAACTTTGGGATTGCGCCAAAACCAGCTCATGTGGACCATGTTTTCCAAATCCAAGCCCCAAGTCTCCTTGGGTGTCTCGTCATTTCTTAGGAGATCCTGAAAAACTGTGTATTGTGTTGGCTTCCCTTGAAAGACACACTTGCTGGTGCTGAGATAGGGAATGAGAAACGGAATGAGCCCTATAAGCCATCCAACTGGTGGTTTCCTTTATTCGGGAATCCCAAAAGGGTTCCTTCAACCACATTCCCTACGTCTCGCACCGATCGCAAGCCTTGGACCATTGCTAGGTCCTCCAGTAGAGAGGATAGAATAAGTTGGTACCAACTTTTTTCTGTAGTCTATTTTAGTAGGGGAACCCTCGCCCAAAAAAAATGGTAAAAAATGGCACTAATTACTGAGGGGCCTGGATTGGATTCTAGACCAGATTTTGCCGATCCGAGCGCCCGACCCAGGCGCAGTGTAGCCTCAGCGCTGTGGGCTCGATGGCGAAGTCCTCAGAAAAACGACGCGTCCGCCTGGGACCCCCTGTCTGGTCGGAAAGGGAACTGCTTGGGACCCCCTGTCAGGTGGGAAAGGACGCTTTGGCAATGAATTTTCAGAGTTGGAGCCTCGCGAGTGGTTGGACATGAATCCCCACCTAACAGGGTCCACTACTAGAATTCACACTCATTTCCGCGGAAAAGCAACACCAGGCCAACCAACCTCTGTGCATACGGGTCAGTCAGGCAAAACCGAATGATTCAGGGTCCATTGACAAGGTGCCTATTCATGTATTCCTCGACAATGTGCCTCAAGAGAGTCCCTCGCGTTTACAACTGCTATAGCTGGCTTGTCTCAAACGATGTCGAAGACATTTTGTGCTTGAAGAGGCCAGTGGTTTTCATCTCATTGCTGTCTTTTCTGAGGAATCCCGTGACCTCTGGCCTGCGTCAAATGTGCACTGGGGTGGGAAGATTCGCGTGCATGGTAGGAAAGGGCAATACATGTTTGTTGGGCATTCAATTTCCAGTGAAACAGAACTATTTGCAATAGACCGATACCCACTAATACACTTGTAAATATTATCATACACACTTAAACATATATATTATCACATGCACGCAAATATGTGTATAAGTATTTATATATATATATTGATATATTAATATATTAACAGATTCCAAGCCCTTCCCGTTCCCAGCAAGCAGGCACCGGAGACATTCTGAATGTTTCCTACATGAGGACATGCAAGTTGAACAATCAAAGCTATCTAACAGTTGGATCTGGTTGGTTCACTTGGGAGATTTCTCAGAAGCCTGCCCTTAGCAAACTCCGGGCACCGGCGCCAGCTGATTCCCGCGGCAGTACTTGAAGCTCACGTGCTGGTCTCCTGGCTTTCGCGGTTTCTCTGCTTCATTTTTCCGGGTTCGAAGCAGTTCGGGCTTTGTACATGTAACGGCGGACCTCTGTCTAATTGATTGCTTTTTTCCGCGTTCCAAGCAGTTCGAGCTACCTGCAACGGAACACAAAGCAGAAAAATAATAATAACAAAAAAAGAGGGTCCTGCGTTCATCTGGCGCAGCCACATCTGGCGCTCGCAGCCGTGGGTGGCCATGATGTTGCCCACCATCGCGCTCACCTCCTACCATGGTTTCCGTTTGGCGATGGGCTGGATTCCCGTTTTGAAGAAACACCTGATATGGCTGTGGGTCAAAAATAGGTACCCAAATGGAACCCTGGCAAATGGACACATGGACTAAAACCTGCGGTCCCCTGTTGGTTGAATTTTGACCCATACCCATATTGCCGTGGCTGCCTCAATTCTTGGAACCCCGGTGGGGGTTCCACACACACATTTTGAGGCTGGCAACGGGTACTTCTTAGTGCAAGGGGCTTTCCCTCGCTTGTTCCCGCCGAGATTTCGTTTGTTTATCAGAAACCGTGTCTAACCTATGCAGAGCCAATGCGCAACACGTGAAACCACTACCACCAAACCCACAGGCTCCCATTCGACTACTTTAACCTGGTTTTGACACCCCCAACCTCCGGGTGTATGGAGCCCCAAGAGCCTCTGGGAATTAAAAACAGTATCTTTCACTTGGTTGACGTTGGAAGGGGAGCAACAATTTAAATTTTAGCAGTTGAGTGGGGATTTCCCACTAAACCACAATAAGCAAAAATGTAAAATGTTTCCCAGCAATGACCATGTTCACAGCCCCTCAATGAAATTTTTGAATCCCGCGAACGCGAAAGAAGTTCACATCGTGATACCATGGGTCATTCCCAAAACACTTCTGCTCCCATTTCCGACTGCCCCCATTTGGCGTGCCCTTTTTGGAGGGGGGCCCACGAACGTGGTGCCTGCTATTTCCCCTTAAAAACCGGGGTACCCCATCACCATGGGTCGTTCAACAAACCGTTCTGCTTTCCTCTGGTTCTCCCTTTGAAACACAAAGCCAAAAGGGCGAGGGGGCATCCCCAAAAACGAAGAAGAGCCACCCAGTTCCGTGACTTCCCCCCACCCCCCCCACCCCCCCCACCCACCCCGCGTCCTTCTCCCCGCCGGCCCCAGGCCGCAGCTCCGCGCGGAGCTCCCGCAGCGCCAGGCGCGCCAGGACCTGCCCTGGCAGTCACTGCAGTGATGGGTCTCCTTCTGACCCTTAAAACAAGGGGTCACCCAAAAAGGGGCCATGGACCCCATTTTCAGAAAGGCTCAGGTGATCATTCACCTCTTATCGTGGGTCATAATGTTTTTTTTGGGGGGGTTCTTCCTTTTCTGTTAAGGGCAGCGTATATTCAAAAAAAAGTCATCACCCAAAAAGGGGTCTTGGACCCCATTTTCAGAAAGGGTCATGGACCATGGAGACTTCAGAAGGTGAGGAGTGGCGCCTCTTGGGCACTTGGTTGGTACCCGTTATTTTTTTGTTTCTTCTCGGTAGTCTATTTCTAATAGGGGAACCCTCCCCCAGAAAAGGGTGAGAAAGGGCACTGGGGGCCGCAGAGTTCCCCTCGAACATGACACACCCATGTTGCTTCCGTCACTCCCATTTTACTTACCCGCAAGATATCATGGGGGCTGGGGGGGAGCCCAATTAAGCCCTTATTAATCCCTTAATAAGGCCTTACTTGGGGCTTATTTGGGCTCCCTCCCCCCCCCTCCCTCCCCCCCAGCCCCGATGAAGATTGGGAATTGCGCCATCCAGCTCACCCTGGTTCATTGCGCTGCGAGAAAACCAGTGCGCTAGAACCAGTGAAGTGGGCACCTAACCCGCTACAATCCACTGCACACGTTTACATGCATGGTTGACCCATGGATGCTCGCGTCAAGTGGTGTGCAACCATAGTTGGCCACGGGAAGTTGGTTTAAAACTTTATAACCTTACTAAGTAGGTGATAACCATGGATCCACTTCGGGCCAGTGTGGATGCATGAAATCCTGTCAACTGGGACAAAACACCAAGCAGTGCAGGATTTCATCTATCCACAAGAGTGGGTTTAGGTGGTTTTGGGTTTAAGGGGGTGGTTGGGGGGGGGCGGGGTTCAGGTGAGCTTCGGGGATGAGGAACATGGGAAGTGAAACTGGCTGTACTCAGTCTACTCACCCATATGTTCAACAACATGGGAAATTGACCGCAACCTTGCGGTAGGGTTTTCACGTCGTCGACACTCATGGACCCCAACACCACGTGAGTAAAACAGAAGGAGACGGGTAAAAGCACACACAGGGTCACCTTTGAAGCTGAAGGGATCGTCCAGACGCACTTGGAAGCAGTCAGGCTTGGCAACAACTCTGGCTCTGAGTATTTTCATATTCCCGGGAACCTTGACCTTTCTAGTTCAGATCTTGTCAGTCGGGGCACCAAGAAAGGCTCAACCCCTCCCGAATGGCTTTGCCACTGGACAGAAGTTGGCGGGGCCAGCGCTCCCTTCCATGTGCCTTCTGCCGCTAATAGCTCCACCGACAGCTCCTGCAGTGAGGTGAGATGAGGCGAGTGAGATGGCAGTGCCCTTTTTCCTGCGGGGGCGGGGGAGGGGCGAGGGGGTGTATACAAAAAACAATCAAGAGGGGTTGCGAGCAACAGCCTTTGCAAGGCACGGGGGTCGTGTTCCGCCTTTAGGGTTCTGCCAATTCGAGAAAAACACACAAATATCCCTTTGTGTCCTCTTTGCTGCAGGGGGGGCGGGGTCTCATTTGTGTGACTTTCAAGGATCTTGCAAGGGGTTGGGGTGGGGACATGTTTTTGATCTTCAAGGGCCTTAGAAGAGGTTCTCAGAAGGGTTGCGAGAGAAAGGCTTTTTGGGTGGTCGGGGGTCATAACTCTCCTGATTGAAGGTTCAAGATAATCCAAAGGAACACTATTTGGGGTGTTCCGCCCCTCCATTTTTTTTTTGGGGGGGGGTTCTGCCATTTCGAGCAACAACTCGTCCAGAGTCACTCGTGGTCCAAGAGGCCGGCAACAAGAAGGAGACTTTGAGGTGCGGGGCTCGGGCCGAAACGTCGCCCAGTTCTGGCAAAGGCATGGAGTGCTGAACCCATTTCGGGGTGATCCGTTTGACTGCTGCCTTTTTCCTGGTTGGGGGAGGTGATTCGTTGGGACTGTTTATGTGCTTGCTTGTTGTTTTCTGGGTGAAGGGTCCCGAGAGCCGAAGAAAAAACAATAACCAACAAAAACGGGCTTGAGAAGGGGCTGGGCTCCGCTTTGACCCTGCGGGTCTGCGGCCCGCTGAGTCCTCCAGGCGGACCATCAGCTTTGCCGCGCCCCGCGCCAGCTCTTTGGATGGCCTCGACTCTGTCCATCGGACCCGACGACAAATGTGCCCCTTGCTGTTTTTGGCAAAACACGGGGGAAGCAGGAAAAAAGCGCAGCCTTTGCCTGGAGTCTCCTGGATTGTTCCTTGTTTTTGTTGTTTGTTTTTTAAGGGTCATGACCCCTGAATTGTTGGGTAACCCCATGTTCTAAAAGTCATGGAGACTCCTGGTCGATTTTGAAGGGAAGCCAAAGGAAGCGACCGTGGTTTGGCAAACACACATTTTTACACTGGAGATCCTGGAAGTTATTTGAGCCATTCTGTCAGCTTATGGAAAGAGTATACCCTGCGTTTTCACATGGCACCCACAACTCAGTTGCCCAAAGGATGCAGAACTAGAAGGTCAAGCTTCTATGACCACCAAAACAGGACCCCATCAGGGAAACCAACAGGTCATTTTTTGGGGTCGAGTCGCTGCAAAGTGAGACAAAGGCATCTCCGATTCCACCTCAGTCCTCAGATACCCTGCTCAAAGTGAATAAAACTGGTGGGTGAAATTCGGAAACCCAACCCCTAAACCAACTAAACCAACTAAACCAACTAAACCAACTAAACCAACTAAACCAACTAAACCAACTAAACCAACTAAACCAACTAAACCAACTAAACCAACTAAACCAACTACCCTCCACCAAACATGGAAGTTTCTCGAATGCCCTTTCCAAGAGGAAAGTCGTCTTTTTTAGAGGGGTCTGTGCACCAAACCGTGTTAGCTGGTGGGAGGGTAACAACCTAAAAATAGGGCCCCGGGTCCTGGAGACTCCAGGTCCCTTTGTTGGGACAACCCACCAAATGGCTCCAAACACCAAATTGTCCACCAACTAACAACCTTAAGAAAGAAAGAAAGAAACCGGGTCATGGAGACTCCAGCTCCATTTTGGTTGACAACCCACCCAAACAGCTCCAAACAAAACCGCTTCCGCCTGCAGCGCAGCACCAACGAGGGGCACGCCGGCAGCTCCGCCAGCCGCACCTGAGCTTCGCAGTTTGTTCTTCGGCGTGCGGCGCTTTTGGATGAAATTCCTGTGAGGTGGCGTTGGGTGTCCTGAGAACATCCAAATAGGTGTGTTCCTTTTTCAGGGCGGACCTGGCAACATGGTGGTTCTCCTTTTGGCTTCCCTTTAAAACCCCTCAAACAACGGGTACCCTTCAACAAAAAGCAGACCATATGGATGATGCGCCATATGTGGGGGCCCCGGTTGGATTACCTTTGAGGATCGGGGCCCTGAGGACATATCCTTTTCCTGTTGAAAGGGACAGAAGGGGGCTAAGAAATCTTCCTGGGACTCACCAAAAAAAACTTTTCGCCAACCGACCAGAAAAAAAAACTTTTCCTGTTTAGTGGGGTCCATCCGACATATGATATTTTTGCGTGGATTTCCAAGCAATGGTCCTCCCATGTAAGGGATTTTTCAGGGTTAAGGTAAAAGCGAAACCGTCCAGGACCCTGCGAGGTTCCATGTTCGTGGGAGAAAACCCTGGGATAAACCACGAGATTCTGTCGAGATGGATTGCTTCCACTTACCCCCTACTCCAAAACCCCACTTTTTTCAGAGTATCATGTCGACCCTCTACTAAAAAAGGAGGTGTACCATGGAAAGCCAGGTTTTCCCAAAAATACCCTGAAAAAGGCGGGTATTTTGAGTAGGGGGTCTTTTTCAAGTGGGATGGCCGTATCAGATTTGCCTTGCTGCGACCTTTTTATGTGTGTCTCCCGCCTGATTTTTCATTGCGGCATGCATGTGGATCTTGCTTCGGTGGTCTTGATGTGACTTGCATGCGAATGTTTGGCTGTAAAGCAAACCCAGAAAAAAAGCAGGCCCCCCCCCCCATCGATACCATCGGTTCAATCGTGTGCTTGCTGATGCCTTGGCTGCGTCTGTTCCGAACCCAGCCACCTCTCGGTCGCCCGCCTCGATATCTGCCCGAAGCAGAATCTGCCACCGTGCCTTGGGACAGTGATCCCGGAGATACCCGACGCTTCCGCAGTGGCCCTGGTCCCGTGTTTTTGTTCATATATTTTATTATTACTAATTATTATTATTACTAATTATTACCATTACAATTATTATTATTGTCATTAAGCAATTAATTAATTAAGTTGTTGTTATTATTAGTACTATTATTAATAGTATTATTTTCATTATCAGTATCATTATGTTTATTAGTATCATGATCATTATCATTATCATTATTATTATTATTATTATTAGTATTATCATTATCATTATCATTATTATTATTATTATCATTGTCATTATCATTATGATTGTTATTAGTATCATTATTATTAGTAGTATTATTAGTATTATCATTATTATTATTATTATTATTGTTGTTATTAGTATTACTATTATTATCATTATCATTATCATCATCATTATCATTATCATTATCATTATGACTATGATGTTGATTATTATTATTATTATTATTATTATTATTATTATCATTTTAATATTATCACCATTATTATTATTATTATTATTATTATTATTATCATTATTATTATGATTATTGTTATTATTATTATTATTATTATTATTATTATTATTATTATTGTTATTGTTATTATTATTATTATTATTATTATTATTATTATTATTATTATTATTATTATTATTATTATTATTATTATTATTATTATTATTATTATTATTATTATTATTATTATTATTATTATTATTATTATTATTATATATATATCAAAAAAGGGACACCTTTGTGGTGGATTCCACCCGCAAAGAGGAACACAAATGCCATTGCACAACTGGGCTTTAGGCCAAACTCGGGGTCATGCAATGCTTGGATAGGACAAACGGGGCTTGGTGCTGCATCAAAAGCTGGATTCTGAACAATGTTAAGGACTTCAAACAGCCGATGTGCATAGGTTGTATATTTGCCCCGCACACGGTCAGTGAAAGGATGCTGCTGTAGTTTCGCAAAAGTCGCCACGGAAAGCGTCAGCAAAGCGAGCCTCGCCCTGTTTCAAACAGCAAGCCGGGGCGCGTGCGCTAGTGCATCCCCTTTTGGCTTAGGAAAAACTACAGGACATCAGCCACAGGGTCAAGGCAGAGGCCCCTCGTCAAGGACCCAAGCTGAGCGCCCACACACAGGGCATGCGGTCCGCCTGGCGAGAATCCATCATTCTTATTTGTGTCACTCCGAGTCTGTCGCAATGCTCAGCCGTGTGTTCGCACCTTCAAGAAATGCACGCAAAAAATCCTAAAACTCAACAATGACTGCTCGGTCATGCTTTCCTCAATCAGAACCATTCATGGTTCTGGATCCCCGGGATGACATCTCGACGACCTGAGGAACCGATCATTTCACTGCTTGGCAATGGACTCAGGCTGCATCGGTGTTTGACCGGCCACAGAGGGCCGTTGGCGGGCAAGCACACACGCACAACATCATGGAGGGAAGGGAGGGTTAGCCCACACGACCTTCTTTGGGCTCCCATGACAACAGGCATCTGTCCAAGTGCACCTCGCGCACAAAAGTTAGACTTCCTTCCCGCTCCCCGAGCACCTTTTTTGGGGTATTGGTTTTGTGTGTAGGTGCGAGTATTACTGGTTTTGCAGCCTACAAAATATCAAAGTGAGCATGAACCCTATGGTGGATAGCATTGGATCCATGCCTGCCGGCCATTTGTTAAGTTCCAAACATCCCAAACTCAGAGCCAGACCGGCGCCTCCCGTGCCTTCCCGTCGCGACTTCGGGGGCGCCTTTCGGGGGCGGAATTCAACCCGCCTCGCCTCCCTGGCATGTGCTCGGCTCAGTGGCTGCGGGGCCTGGCTTCATCGGAGAAAAATCGCGTCCGAACGCGCCAGCCCGCCATAGAAACCCGAGGTTTCCCCCGAGGTTTCTGCGGTTTGGTCGCCATATTTGAAAACCCAAGGTGAAGACTACCTCCACTTTCTTCGGATTCAGCTGTAGCACTGTAAGTGCCTCTCTTTCTTTGGATACGGGTGACATGTATTCTAACGGTGTAGAACAATGCCCCCGCTCCAAGTAGCAACTCGAATCATCGAGTTGGACACTGGTCCAACCAAAACCCGAAGCCAGAACCAAATTCTAGGCCCAAAACGTCAACCGAGTCAAGGGCTGCTTGAAACTGCTGAGCTGGCTTGGCTTGAGTGAGCATCTGGCTTGGCATAGTTTGTTTCGAGCCAAAGCCTGGAAACCTGAGAGATGGCTCCTGTCCCCCGCCTGGCTGCCTCCTCAACCCTCAGCTCTCCCTTGCCACGGCTTCCCCCATTCCCCGTGTCAATTCGCCAAACCCGACAAGCAAGCGAGCGCTTCCCGCCTCGCGCTTGGGCCGCAGTTGCCCAAGCTCCTGAAGGTTCCGCACCAGCCTCAGGCAAAAGCAGAGGAGATGTGCCCAAATACCAAATTGGACCCTTGAATGGTCGGGGTTCCGTTGGTTTGCCTTTAAGCCGACCAGGAAGGGGCGCCCTCAAAAGAACAGCCAGGACATATGCAAATATGCAGCCATCCAACTTTGAAAGTGCCGACGGGGGAAGTTCCAATTCACTGCGTTCGCTTGCTTTGCTTTGCCTGGCTCTAGATGCTGTTCTCGATGCCTTCAAGGCCGTCGGAATGGATTTCTCGACTTTCCCGGAACAAGGCCGCGTAGAAGACAATGATCAAAGGTGCGCCACTTGTACTTCGGAAGGGGGGGTTGGAACAGCCGCCTTTTCCAAGAATAAACTTGGGGATCGGCTGTCTACAAAATCACGGGGGTATGAGGGCTGCCTACCAAATGACTGCGCGCGACCGGGAAAGGAGGCGCGATCTATGCCATTGGCAAAAACATGTTTTTGTAGCGGGAGCATTAGCTCTGATCCATTCCAATGTTCCAATTGACACCCGTGTTGTAGGGGAAATTGGATGAACAGAGTTTCAACAGGGCTCTCAACGAGGCTCTCAACAAGGCTCTCAGGGTGTCAAGCATCCCACACGCATCACCCAGCATCCTTATCTGTCTATCGTCTGTGTTCTTCTCTGACATGAGCCCTGACCCAATGGCCATGAACACAGCATGTTGTGCGGATGTTGCTGCATCGCAGCACTGTATAGAACATTGATCCCTCGTAGTCCTTCTAGTCAGTTCATCAAGGAGTTCAGGATGCGAAGCGCCCGTCAAACCATGTATTATAATGTAGAGGAATGTGAAGGATATAGATAGAATACAAAACAGAAAAGCCAAGCTTGATCCAATCTCTACAAAATGCCACACCAATTAAACCTTGTGACTAAGACATGACATAACCAGGCCCCCAAAAATGGCCCCAATACTACTCGGAGAAAAGAAGACACGTGTAGCCTCTACAAGATGATGGCATTGTTTTAGTCCGTTTTGTAAGGCCCACAAACGGTCCTATAAAACTGAGGCATGACCGCCCCCCTTCTCCATCAAGAACACGTTTATAGGGAGGTCGACCTCGCACATGTTATACGGGACATGTGCAGGGGCATGCAAATGGCATGAAGGTGCGGATTGGCAGCTGTGCAGCCATGCACAGCCTAATCCCCAGAACTTGCCATGTAAAGGTACAAGGGCTGCTGACCGCCTACTGTTGGTTGGCGGTCACCAAGCCCACCACAAGCACAAGGTAAGGCCAAAAATCCCATTGGCCCTACCAGATCTAAGCCCGTCTCCTCCCCAGTTGCCGAGCGACCCGGTAGAAACAAACGTGGAACTTGTTTTACCTCCGATCCCGTTTTTTTGTGGGTCCCGACCCACTAAAACAAACAGCATCAAGGCTGGGGCACACGTCGCCTGAAGATTTTGTGCCAGTTACTCAGCATTTGCGTCCAGCTCTTCAAAAGCAAGTCCGACGTTTGCAGGAACCACTCGGTAGCACAATTTGGCCAAATATTGCACAACAATTCGTGAGCTTGATCCTTTGCTGCATGCTGGACTCAATCACGTATTTCCAAAACACATTTGATAATAATAACTTTCATTTCTGCATGGCGGGCTCAACCAAACAGTGATATGTGTGCAAGTCAAACGCGAAGACAATTATGTGCTGCATGGTAGAATCAGCCAAACGTTTGTTCAAGTGAAACATAGGTGTGATCGTTTGCTGCATAATGGTGTCAAGTCAAGCGTAAGCGTAGTATTTGGCCGATTGAATCCACCATGCAGCAAATAATGAGGCTCCCGCTTGATTTGTACATTAACTTGAGCCCACTACGCCGAAAGCTAATTACATTCACGGTTGACTGTACCACATGCTCGATACAACCCAGCACTCTGAAAACGATTACGTTTCCGTTTCGCTTGAAAGCACATTTGGCTGAACCCACCATGCAAGACATTTTTATGCTTGCACTTGACCTGAACAAATGTTGGGTTCAGCCCTGCTACGTTAACGGGATACGTGAACCCGTACGCTTGGGAGGCGGAATGTCCCGCTCGCGAAGACACGGAGGCTCACTCTTCACTCGGCGAGAATTCTTTGCCTGGGCTGCCCTCAGATCCCATCAGATCCCCTGAAAGTTTAACTTTTAGTGGGTTAAATGGAAACCGCCACTAAACACTAAAAGGCCAAAAAGCTAAGGAACCGGATGGCTGGGAGCTACCAAGCAACACAGGGCCTGTGGCAACAAACAGCTTTTGAATTCGCGCATCCCTGGCCTGCGGAGCGGCAGCAAGTCCATGCGCCGCAGAAGCAGTTGAGTAGGGGCCAGGTCCAAGCTTAAGACCTCAGCCGCCCGCTGAGCGGCACCGGAGTCTGTCTGATGTTTGGGGAAACCCTTTTTGGTTGGATTAAAGAGAAAAGCATAAGGAGCACAAAAATCCAATATGAGGGATCCACCAACAAAAAGACACACCCATAGATACTCATAGATTTACAGGGTCACGAAGAGATTTTCCAAATGAAAAGTTGAATTTACTGCTACCACCTGTGGAAACCAGTAAAACTGCAACACTGTTGGAGGTCCCAGAAAGGGACATGGCTCGGACACCCTGTCACTTAAATTCAAGACTGTTTGGTTACAAAACTGATCCCTGAATGTTTAGACTCAAGGGAACGTGCGGAAATCGAGTGGCGATTTTTGGTGTTGGTGGCTGTTTTGGGTTCCGCATGTCCTCCCCAAATCAGTAGACGCCGACCTTTTGGCGGACAATCCCTTTCAAGGGAGCGACTCAGCACTGAATTATCAGAAAGACTCGGATCATGGCATGCCTCATCGGTCGAAACCGTGCTGCTGCAATGCTTGGGCCAGTGCCAATGGGCTGTCGATGTTGTTAATCGCTTATTTCTGTTAGATGCTGTGCAAGCCAGGGGAAGATTGGACATACTACAAAAAAAAGACCTTAAATGAAAGCAGGTGCGATCCCGTTTCCTGGGCTGCGCTTCAACTCGATTTACATTGGGGGTCCGCGCCTCCCGAAAGAAAGCAAGGCGCCGGAAGATGGGGATGTAACCGGAAAACAGCGAGCGAAAAAGATTGAAGCCACTGAACTAAGGAGTGTGTACACTTTCGGCTCTAGTGGTTTGTGGGCGATGGACACACTCTTAAATGCAGCAAGGGGTTTTATGCGTGTGTGTGTGTGTGCTGTGTGTGTGTGTGTCTAAAGGGATGGGCTGATCTGAAGCACATTGTGGAGATGTATGTGTTCGTAGCTTTCCAAGCAGGGCACGTGTCAAACAAAAAGGACCTCCAAAATGATAGGTTTCCTTTTGGGCTGTCTTTTAAAGGGGCTTTAACGGGAAACCGTCAAAGAAACCAGACATTTTTTGGGGGGTCCTCTAAGCCTTTTGGATTTCGGTTTAAACCACCCCCTACTCCAAAACGCAACTTTTTGTTCAGGGTATCATGTCGACCCTCTACTAAAAAAGGAGGTTTTTACCATGGAAAACCAGGCTTTCCCAAAACTACCCTGAAAAAGGCGGGTATTTTGAGTAGGGGGCAAGCTAAAGATACACACGCCAAAAAGAACTCCCGCCTTGCGATCTGCGTGGAACCTGACCTTCTGCGGGTCCAAGCCTGGGTTCGAGGCCCAAGCGTTTCGAACTTCGAGGGCCGAAAAATGTGGTGGGCTCAAAATTCAACTGGGGCTACGCAGGTTTTAGTCTTCTAGGTCCTCCAGATTTGAGAGGTGCTCGAAAAGTTGGTACCGTGTCTTTTTTCGTTTTTTGTCTATTTTAGTAGGGGAATCCAAAACCCCCAAAAAGGGGAGAGAAGGGCACTGCTGGGGGACTTAGTCTTTGGTTCCATTTGCCAGGGTTCTATTTTGGGTACCCATGTTTGACCCGCCAAATGGGTGTGCTGTTGCGGGCACCCGTTTTTTGGGCTTGGTAAAAGGCCACCAATCATGCTCAGGACACATACTCCAACATGAAATCATTGTCCCATGATCAAGAGGCAATTTAGCTGCATAGCACCCACCCTAGGACCAAGCGCGGATTGGTGAGGCCTTGACAGTATACGTGTTACAGCAACCAGTCCCGCTTCAATCAGTGCCGGGCGGAACAAGCACTTCCAGCAAGACAGTTCCGGCACCTCCTTTGCATTCCAGATACGCGCATTTGAACTTCGGGAACTGCAAACGAATGCGAAACCTCTGGACGACCTTGGAGAAAGCCACCCCGAAAAGAAGTGCGCGGCAGTGCGGAGATGTCGCATGGAGTCAAAAAGACTCATGCAGAAGTCATCACCAGTGTGCCAAAGGCAATACAGGCGGAAGCTGGCGATGATTGCAATGGCATGGCCTCACCTTTGAAAAGCGCGAACAAGGGCTGGCCCTGATGTCCGAAGTGACTAGTTTCTTTGTTTATCTAAGGTCTTGGGACTTCCAACACCACTGGCTTCACCCGGCAAAACGACACCGGCCACGACAACGTGCTCACTTCCCACAGGTGCCAAACCCCGTTTACACTTGCTGCGGCCATCCCTACACGCCATACAAATCACATTGTTGTGACAGCGGTTCAAAGAAATCACACCTTCACATCTCAAGAGCATCAGCTTAGCAGTTTATGGAATTCTAGATGTTCTTTGCCTCTTTTTTTGTATCTGGCGACCCCTTGATTGACACACCCTGAGCCAGAAAGCGTTGTTCGACTGTGTTCTGTTCGCGAGGTGTTTACAACCAGCCGCAGGTCCAGGGGTGAAACATGGTGAAACCAAGCGTGTTTTCCGTGACACGGGCGGGGGTGTCTCAACATGAAGATTCGGTCCAAGCTTCCTTGACTAGGTCCTCCAGTAGAGAGGTTGGAATAAGGGTACCCTTTTTTCTGTTGTCTATCATAGTAATAAAAAAAACACTCCCCCAAAAAAGGGGTCAAAGGGCACCTAGCTGGGGGACCTGGTTGAATGCCCCCAGAAACCTGAGGTTTCCACAAACATCCTTGTCCCATACACGCAATGTCTAACGTGATTGATCTGTGTTTCCATGGAAAGCCTGCCCGAGGCCAACCAGGGCTCTCCGCCTCGCATCTCTCCTGAGGGTGAGCTCTTGGACCAAGCCTGCCCGAACCTGCGGCTCCCATCACGTCAAAAACCCAAAAAATGAGCTGTGGCGGTCCAAAGTAGTTGGTAACCCCAACATGGGTTGCCCTGGTAAATGGAAAACGGACTAACACCTGCAGTCCCATGGTGGTATGAATTTCGACCCATACCCAATGGGCTTGAAAGTTTGAGCATGCCCGTAACGCTTGATCTACATTTGCTCGAATGGCATTGCATTTATGCGAATGTGGAAGTGACATGAAAACAAACCCTCTTCGTGAGCGCGGCCCGTTGATTCGCTTTTGCAAGACTACAGTGCCAACAAGGAAGAAAAAACCACATGCATGGACTGCCCAAAGGCTGGGACTTTGCATTTCAACTGGACAGGAGGTTCATGTCGACAGAGGAGCCCCAACAAAACGCCGGGTCCAAACCAACTTGACGCAAAGCATCGAGGCGTGAGATTGCACATCAACCCCTCCGCCGACCTCAACCTCTGGTACTTGCATGCCAACCATTTGGAGAAAGTTACCCAACAACATCTCCAAGGGTCAAACGCAACCTGTCATTTGCCTGTCAAATGGGTGTGGGTCAAAAATAGGTACCCCAAATAGAACCCTAGTAAATGGAAACAAGGACTAGAACCTGCGGCTCCCCGGTGGTTTACTTCTGACCCATACTCAAATTGCCCCCCCCCCCCCGCTCACGCGCCGTGAGCACAGGAAGTGCTCCCCCGAGGCATCGCGAAACACGGCGCAGCCCTCCTGCGGATCAAGCCGCAGCCAACGGACTCGGTCTGGGGGGAGTTCGCGCATTTTTCTGCCGCCATTTGCTGTAGAGCCCCCTGGGGAAAAAAACAACATCCAGTGGTGATAGATTCCGTTTGAAACCAACAGGGGAAATACATCATCTTCTTCAACAAATGCACGTAATATGTGAGTAGGAACAAGTTGAACCGCAACGACTGTTCTTCTCGTGCAGGGCAAGCGAAACCATGCCCCTGCAAAAAGCCTGCTCTGCCAGCACCCAATATGGGAAATCACTCACAAGGTATGCATCGGCAACAAGAGGGTAAGTTGCCCACCAAGGCGGTTTTGTTGACAACTAAGGTATGCAATGAGGGGTATGTGACGAGGCAGCAGGTGTTGTTATACTGTATAGGGCAATGTAGCGGGGTGCGTAACGAATGTCTGCCACAGCTCTATTGCATACCCCAAACGCATCGCTGCCATTTTGTTCATATATGCTTTTTGTGATTGTTTCATCCTGCGGCGCACGGCAACTTTGAACGCAGAAATCGCGCTGAAAAGGCGCGCGGTGCATCCCATACGCCAAAGCCGAAACGGCGTCCACAAGAGACATTGGAAAAACAAAGCCAACCATTGGTTGCCGTTGACCCCTCTCCCAAATGTTTAAATTGTGGGTCCAGTACGGGAAATTCGAGCTGTTTCGACCAAAAAGACTTAACGTCCAAAGACCCGTTACCAATTAGGCCATAAAGACAATAGCTTGCCACCATAAGGCGTTCTTTGGACCCCCACCTTTCATTCACCTCCCATCTGGCACCGAAGACGAAAGGCCCCATGGCACTGCGGATCGATCGGGTGACCGGAGGCTTCTCTGGTGCCCGGTCCCGCAGGTAGGGCTCCATGGTGTGGAATCTGTCCTATCGCATGGGACACCTCCCTTTGCGGTAGAGTCCCCTGGAAAAACAAACCAAAAAAACATACAAAACAGTAGTGGTATTGATTCCAATTAAAACCAAGAGGGGAAACTACAAGTAGAGCATATTCTCGGACAAATGGAAGTAAAAGGCCTCGGACCCCCAAAAGAACCAAAAGCCTTGCTGTTGAACAAAGGAAGCCATGAGTGCTGTTGCTTCCGGGAAGCCGTGCGAGTTTCGGCTGATCTCAAATATCTTCCACACTTTGTGCGAGAAGTAGAGAATGACCTTTTCCGGGTCTTGGGAATGAACCCGAAAGGGATTCCCGAACAAAGGAAACCAAATCGGGGATTTTCGGGGTGATTCCAACTCATTCCCCGCCTATCAAACCAGCAAGGAAATAGTGGACCAGACAGGTCGATTGTGGCCTGGATTCAAGATCAGGGAGGGTCTTTTTGCAAGCTCTTATGGAAAAAATGATCGACCCCCTCGTAGTGAAGGATTCCTTTCTGAGGAAATCGCATTTTTTCTCACAAAAGGTGGCAAACAGACCCCCCCTGCTCAGGAACATGCAAAGAACATCTCAGATGCGGTCACTCGGGAAGACGTGCGACAAAATGTGCAAAGAAGTCCAAGGAAGGCTGTTGCCTCTAAGCCAAGCCCACACAGGTTCTATATATAATGTACGCCGTGCACGTTGATTTTTGGTCTGTCAAAATTGAGGGCACCGTTGGATTTCTAGGGACCACGAGGAAACCAAGCACCCAAAGGGTTCCTAATTTTGAGACAGACCCAATTCTGAAAACCTGCATTTCTTCAGCCAATCAACGCCAGCCGAGGCTTTTGGGTCGGCTCATCCTGCATGGTTTAAGTTTATTCCTTGAATCAGCAAAAGGGGGTGGATTCCCTTTAGATTCCCTTAATGATGTTAAAAATAGCTCAAACTTCCAACAACTATGCGCTTCCAACCCTTTAAACAAACAGTCCCCTCCCCCCAACACGGGTGGTAGCATTTAAATCCACATCAAAAATAAACATGCCAACAAAAAACAGAAACAGAAGAGGCACCCCCCCCAACATGGGTGGTCCCATTTAACATAAACAGAAGAAACAAATATAGCAAAAAAAAACAGAAACAACACAGGCAAACAAGAAGGAGTCCCAAATCAACAAACACCATACAAACAAATAACCAAAAACAAAACAGGGGAAACAACAAACATACAAAAAATAAGCAACATAGGCAAGGCACAACAAAATGCGTTCCGTGCAGATACTGAGAAGCCACCCCGCTCCAACTCGGGTTCCTCCTGCCACACGCCTTGCAAGGTGAGCGCCAGCCAAGGCGAAGTCTTCTCCGCGCCTCGCGGAGACGCCGGGCGCCGGGGGATGTGGGGTGGACGACGGAAAGAAATGGGTCTGCCTTTGTTTGAGAGTAATTACTCAATTTGGGGTGCTTGAAATGGAAACCGAATGGACATCCGGCATATTTGGGGTCCCCTGTTTGGAGACAAACCCCAATGTGGTTGGCTTGCTTGCGTGCTTGTGTGCGTGTGTGCGCGTGTGCTTGTTGAGGGTACCCTTTTCATCTGGGTTCTAAGGGAACCAAGTGACAACCCCCAACTTTGACACATACCAAACTTCAGCTCAAAATAGGCGGAGATAGTCTGTTCAGCATTCAATGTAAGACACTGGGTTTACGATCTTCAATGTATCATTCTGATCTGCGCCAAACTGTTTCGACTCACCTTCGCAGGCAAAAGGCTTTAGTTGGGTTCCAAGTCCAGAGAGACGCCGGATGTTTCCTGACCGGGCTGGCGGAAGGCAAGTTCTATCTGACATCCTGCAAGAGAAACCCGACGAAGTCTGGTGAGCTAAGCATCTGCCCAAAAGGAGCTTGGCCTTCAAAAGGCTGGCGATACGGCTTGCCAGACCAGATTTCGCCGCAAGCAAGCCATAAACGGGCTTCACTTGCCACTTATTGAGTGGACCGGCCAAAACCCAGCCACCGAAGCATTTTTTTTTCTCTCGCCTTTCTCAAATGGTCCAAACCCAGGTGAGTCACAATCACAACCCGGTAGTAAAATGGTCTACCCAGAACCATGCTTCAAGAATTAAGAAGGCGGATATCCGCACCTATTTCTGGCTGGGACTGCCCCTGAACCTTCATCTACCCGAATCGGTTTTGAGGACGTGGCTCAGGTGACTGACGTCCAGCTCAGGGGGTTTGAGGCGACATCTTGGGGGCAGCTCCCAACATTTGGCCATGCGTCAAAATCCAAATCGATTAGCCCCCTGTGAACATCCGATTCAATCCAACCACTAAAATAGGTTCTGAAATGGGTGGTGAATTCACCGACAACCCCAAAATGGTATCCCAAAACGGTTTTGACCACCACTGCCATTACCTCGCGCGCCTGGCAGCTTCAGCAGCCGGTAGAAGGGCTCCTCCTCATCCGGCCTCCGGAGCCACGCGGGTTTGGACCGAGAGACACGCGGCTCAGCCTCAAAGCCTCGGTGTTCCTGGCGGCTTACCTTGAACAAAAACCGCGGAAAAAACCACACATTGGGCCACACAAAAAAAACAAGCGACTGGCACCGGAAGGCTTTGTATTTGCTTGGATTTGGCAGCCTGGCAGATTGCCCTGCCTGATGTAGGTCAACACTGATCGGATCTGGCATGAATCCAACAAACACATCCGGGCATGAAGCTTGTCAGCCCAGCTACTTTCCACACTTTGGACCGACATTGGATCCACACGAATTGCCTCACAAACTACCGCGCTGTGAATTTGTGTCGCCTGAGATCCCGAGATTTCGCCGCCTTTCTCCGGCCTGAAGTTGCCAAGTGACCTGACGCCTGACGCTCTTTCAGCCTTTGAATTGAGCGTAACGGATGCGTTGGTGCTACCAACTACTCCCCGGGACCGCCGGTGGGGTTCCATGTTGATTTGCGGAGTGCGTGTCTATCGAATAGAGTCTAGACTAAGAAAGAACTGGAGGTGGGTAGACTAAGAAAGAACTGGAGGATGGAAAACCCGAGGCTACGCAGAGATGCCACAACCGTCCCAGCTCCTCTGAAAGACTCTGTTTGGCGCGGCCCTGGCCGCCGCTGTTTTATTTCAGGAATCACCCAAAGCAACCTCATTCCCGAAGGTCATGCAAAAATATCACCCAACAAGAGACACCTCTGCGTTCAGGCAGCCTGACAAAAACTCACACACAGAGTCTCACGTAGGTCTGCTGGCTGACTTGCCCAACTTCAGACCTTCTGAGGCTCCAAATGACGATTGGCACTGTTCAGGGGGGAGTCTTCGTCATATTGAAGCTCCAACATGAAAACTTCTGACCCTCTCCACGTCTCTCAAGGTTGATCACAAACTCACAAACCTCTTCCCCTACAAACAGGGCAGGCTTCTTTCTTTAAAAAAAAAACGCTTCCGTCTAGTCGGTGATTTCGACTGGCGGGTTTGGGGTTGGCCTTTTCATTGACCCTTCTCCACAAGAACCAGGGGCTCAAACAAAAAATCCAAGCCACCAATCCAAGGGCTGGAAATCCGATACAACCAAAAACGCCTCCCAAAGACATTTCACCCCCCCAAGCTTTGGGATTCCCTACAAAAGCGGATGGAACCCCTGAAACCCCCCCAGCCAGCCGCCTCATGGGGCATAGCCTCAGTAGCTCCGCCCGTTCGTGGCTCTCCATTTCCTGGGCCATGGGTGGCAAAAGACTCCAAACATCTCCATGTAACGCTTTTTCGCCTGGAAGAAAAGATGAAAATTAATTGGTCCACTAGTGAGATGATGAGGCCCTTTTTCTTCACCCACAAGGGGACAAGTTTTTACAACATCAATTCATTTCGGCAAATGGTTCAAGAACATCTCAGGTGCCAATTGCAGCTGCCAGCTTCGGTCCCAAACCTCCCCCCCGCCTGATCCAACCCCTCGCATCCCGGAATCCCCGGCGCCTCGGGCTCGTCCTTCACCCCGCTGCTCCAGAGCGCCAGGCGGCCCACACGCAACGCCGCAGCCCGACACCTGGCCAACTGAGCTCGGGCGCTCGGGCCGTACCTGGATTCACCAAGTGTTACCTCAGGGAGAAACCAAAGCAAATGACCAGTTCGTTCTAGCGAAACGGTCGCAGTTTCGCCAAGTACCTCAAGAGAAACCTGCAAAGGAAAATGACCAGTTCATTCTACCAAGCACTGCCATATCTGCCTCAAACCCGACCGACAGTTGTACGAGTGCAATCAGCAGTTGGGTATTTCAGGTGGTATGTCCTCACGAATCACTGAACAACGGACCGGCTTCCAATTATTATTGCCACATGGGCCCTGACCCACTCAGAAACTTGAAAGATATGAGGGATAAGTTTCAAATTGCTGTTGACCAGCTTCATACAACAACTTCGATCGATCGTTCGAGCTTACCCAAACAATGCACATGGGCCTCTCACAAGAATGTGTTCACATACGGCTCGTATTATTTCTTTTTGGCATGGGAACGGAGCAGAATAGTCTTGCCTTTACACCAGCCAGCCTGCTTGATGGTAAAAAATGGCCCTGCAAATAAGGAAGCCTCCCTACGGAGCCAATGTAGTTGCAAGGTTGTGTGAGTGCATACATTTCGCTGCAGCGCACAAGCTCTAGCATATATTTCTGAGCATTAGAGCTCAATGCTGCGCGGCAATCATGCGCGGCGTTGTGCGGCGGACATGCTTTTGTTGTGGTGAGACTGCCCCAAACCCCGCTGTCCAAAGAATATAAACCCAAGTCGGCAACGGCGCGTAAAAATGGCCGGCAATATGCCTGCAATGCTGCAAACTTTGTTGGCATTTGCAAAGCCCTGCTACTCAACTCGTGCAAATGGTGAGTCGGTTGTGCGTTCTTTTCAGTTCAAACCTCCAAAAGAAACAAAGACCTTAGCCTGGCAAAGACCTTAGCCTGATGAATACCAGCTTTGAATACCGGCTAGGCCAGACCTCTGGTGGCAAAAAAGCAAGCAGAGCTCAATATCACTTTGTGCGTGACACATCTTGGTGAAAGGTGCGTTCACGCAAACGGGCAAGAATTCCAGGTGACTGCAGGGACATACCAAGTTGTGTAAAGGTCAATGCCGATATATCAGCTCCTCGTGAACGCCTCAAGGAAACACAGCACAAATGTCCCAGAGTTGTTCCAAAACTCACCTGTTTGCCTTTGCCCATTCTCAAACTGCGGACAGACTAGCATACTCAAGTCCAACCTCAAAAGCTACGACAAAAGCTCCGGCCTGGATAGGGCATCCTGGCGCGAATCAAACTCGGCAAGTTCCAAGGTGGATCAATCAATCAGGCCTTTTCAACCCATCAATGTGGTCTGCAGTTTGTTGCGCAATCCGCTGGCCTCCCATCCACTTGGCGTGCTTCCTCTGCTGTCTGAATCAAAATCAAGACTCTGCGCCTGATTGATTGCTTGCTTACTTGCTTGCTGGTGTTCTTTGCTTGCTTTGCTCGGTTTGCTTTCTTTGCTTTGCTTTGATTGCTTTCTTGCATGTAAACTTTCTCGCTCGCTCGCTCGCTTGCTTGCCTGTGACAAACGAACCAACCAACAAGCAAACAGACAGACAGACAAACAAACAAACAGACGGACAGACAGGAACGCAATTAAATAATAATAATGATAATAATAATAATAGTAACAATAATAAATAAAAAAATAACAAAATAATAATAATAATAAATAATACTAATGATAATAATAGGTAATACTAATGATAATAATTAATAATAATAATAATAATAATAATAATAATAAAAATAATAATAATAATAATAATAATAATAATAATAATAATAATACTAATAATAATACTAATAATACTAATACTAATACTAATGATACTGATGAATAACAATAATGATAATAATAATACTAATAATAATAAAGATTATTAATTAATTAATAATAATAATAATAATAATAATAATAATAATACTAATAATAATAATAATAACAATAATAATAATACTAATAATGATAATAACCATAATACCAATAATAATAAT